TCCTTCTGCGAGGACCTGGAGCGCAAGAAGAAGGCCGTCTCCTTCTACGACGATGTGACCATCTACCTCTTCGACCAGGTGGGTGCCCTAGGGGGCAGTGCCGGGCGCTGGTCATGGTCCCACAGCATTCTGGCGGTGGGAGCCATCCCCAGCCGTGCCCCCAGTGAGGTTCCTTCCTGCTGTTTCTCCATCCTCAGGAAAGCCCCACGCGGGAGCTGGCTGAGCAGGGCTTCCCAGAGCCCCCCCTGCCTTCGGGGCAGCCCCCCCTGCCTTCGGGGCAGCTCCCTGCCAGTGGCAGCCCCCCCAGCCCCACGGACAAGCTCGGAGCCTCGGACGACTCCTCAGATGGCAATGCCTCGGAAGAGAGTAAGAGACCAGGGGGTTGTGGGGCTGGTGCTTATGGGGTGATGGGGGGCAGCAATTATGGGATGATGGGGGCAATTATGGGGTGATGGGGGAGCAGTTATGGGGTGATGGGGGGCAGCGGTTATGGTGGGGACCCTGAGATGGGCTCAACCCCCTCACTCCCTATCGCAGGCGGTGGCTTCGAGTGGGACGATGACTTCCCGCTGGTGCCGGTGAAGCCGCCCCTGGTGGCCTCGCTGCCGGGGACACCAGCAGAGCCCCCCGCGGCCGTGCCCGCCCTGCCCGCCCTGGTGCCGGCACAGAAACAGGTGCTGCCCATCCAGTTCTCCCGGTTCACGGTCTCGCCTGCCCCGGTGTCCCGGTTCTCCATCACCCACGTCTCCGACTCGGACATGGACTCCATAGGAGGTGAGTCCCCCCCGTGATGCTGCTCTGTGGGTGACCAGGACCCCTATCCCTGCCGGGGGCTGCCGTCAGCGCCAATGGCACTGTGAGCCACGGGACACCCTGGCCTTGTGCCCGCGGGGACGGTCACTCCCCGCGAAGGGCCGGGTGTCCCGCGGAGGGCGGGACCCTCTCACGGCCCCTCTCTGCTCGTTGCAGGCAGCAGCGAGGACGGTGACCGGGAGTGAGCCCGCCGGGACACAGCCGGCATCGCCCCGGCACCGGGCAGGCGCAGGACGGCGGGGCCGGGCACAGGGGCCGCCCGTGGGCTCCCAGACCCCGCTCTGGATTTTTTAGGCAGATTTTCTCGGAAGGAACTCGTTTGCTGCTGCGAGTGGGAGTGGGGCCGTGCCCCCCGCGGGGCCAGGCGGTGGGTGACGGTGACAGCCGTGCGTGTGTGTGCGGGTGGCTGTGTGCGTGCGTGCAGAATACACACTTATATATATATATATACATATATATATATAAATTATAGCGTTTAAAGGGTAGTGCCCTGACCTTGCTAACATTTGCAGAGTGTCCCCCTAGTGAAGTTCCCCCCTTTTGGCTTCTTGCCCATGCGTGCTCCCCGAGGTGGTGTTTGTCCCCACACCTCCTGTGCTGTCCCCTCCCCGTGCTGTGTGCTTGGTCTTGCACCTTGCGGCAGCTTGGCTGCCCCAGGGCTGCCCCACAGTCACCCTACAGCTGCCCCACGGCTGCCCCACAGCCACCCCACGGCCACCTCACGGCTGCCCCAGGGCTGCTTCATGGGCACCCCACGACATTCCCGAGTGAGGAGCCACTGGCTGCTGCCACCATTGATGTCACTCCCTGTGCCAGGGGTGCCACTGTCTCTCCAGGGGGGGCACCATGGCTTTTGGGGCTTGGGGGGGCTCCCCTCCCTTTGCTTTCAGGGAGCAGTCCCAGCAGGGGGATCCTGAGGGCTGGTGGAACCGTGTCCCACTGTGGCAGGGAACGACACGTGGAGGGCTGGTTAGGGGGGGAACGCCCCCCCCCGGGACCTGCCAACCTGACTATTTTTGTATTTAAAGAAAAGGATTAGAAAAACCCAACCCCAAACCCACCCCAGAACCAAAACTCGCTGTTGACTGAACCCACATTGACGCGATTTTAAGTTATTGCTGCCAAAGAGACGTATCGAGTCGGGGGGAGGGGGGCAAGGGGTGCTTGCAGTTCTTTGTTACTTTTTTTTTTTTTTTTTTGGGTTTCTTCGTTTTTGTTTTTTTTTTAATTCATTCGAGGCTTAGGATAATTGTGCAATTCCAGCTTCCGGAAGGAAATAGAAGTAAGCGGAGCTGAACGAAACCTTGAAATCAGGGCTGGTTCCTTTTGGGGTCTATAGACCAAACCCTGAGGTGAGAAATGTCCCCTGTGAGCGCCCCCCGCCCCATGTCCTGGCTTCTGGCACCCCGTGTGCAGGTGGTGAGGGCACACGGATGCCCCTGTGCACAGACATGTGCACTCACGTGGGATGGGGCTGGTGCCAGGGGTTCTGCTCCATGCCATGGGATGATCCCATCCTGGGCTGGGCACAGCTCTGGCACCAGGACCCTGTGGGATGAGCCCATCCCCAGCCTGGCACTGTGATGCCACTTGGGTTCCAGCCAGATGTTCCCATACTCGCCCACCCTCCTCCCACCCATCCAGCATGTTTCAGCCCACCCTGGAGCTGTATCTCAGCTGGAGCCCCCTCAGTGCTCAGAAGGCTGTTGTGGGGGTGAGGGGCTGTGCCCCAGGGCACAGCCAGGGTCCCAGGGGACCCCAACTTCAGCCCCAGGGTGGCTGTGCCACCCCGTACCCCCCATTGCTGGTTCCTCCCTACCACTAAGCAATTAATGCTTTATTTAAGTGTTTTATTTAAGTCCCCACCTGTCCTGTAACCCACCCCCCCCTCAGTTCTCCCAAGCTCTTCCCTTACCCTTTGCAACTGGGGGGCCACCCCCTGCACTGACCTGGGGTGCAGCACCCATGGGTGCTGCCCATGCAAGAGTGGGATGCTCCTGGGATTCCCTTCCCGCAGCATCCACCCTCCTGCCCCCCCTGCCTCCCCTTCCCTGCACACCACCAGCACCACAGGTGCTTGCCCCCCAAGCCCCTTGCACCCAGGGGTGCTGGTCCAGCCCCCCACCCCACCCTGGGTTTGGTCTATGGTGCCGCAGGTCCCGGCTCCAGAGGGTGGATGAGGACAGAGCTGTGGCTTGGGTAACTTTTTTAATAGAAAGGCTCTTCTTACATCGTCTATTTTCTCAATACGGGTCATAATTGCTGTATTTTTTATCAGTGCTGATTTCCATACAGCTCCCAGCATGTGTGTCAAATCTCATCGGGCCAATAATAAAGTTTTTAAAATATCTTAAGCCGTTTCCTGCCCCGATCATTGCCCGGCACACAGGATGGAGCCAGCTCGGGATGGACCCGGGGCCAGGCCGTGCCTCTGGCCAGGGGAAATGCTGCAGGAGGGAGGGGTGTGAGGGATTTAATTGCTCATAAATTACTTTTTCTCATAAAAAATTATTTCAGGTTACGTCTTGCAGGTGCCACCGAGCCAGGAGGTGCAGCGAAGCCCCCGGGGGCTGGTTGGAGCCAGGGTGGCTGCTCAGGGGTCCCGGGGGGGCAGCCCCTGGCACAGGGGTGGAAGAGGACAACGCTGTGGCTGAGGGCACCCCAGGCCTGTCCCCACCCAGGGCTGTGACCACCAGCCCTCTCCCACCCACTGCACCGTGCGCCAGTGGAGCCCTTCCCCTCACCCCTGCCCCGTGTGGTCCCCCACCCATCTGCTCCAGCTCTGGGAGAAGAGGAGGCACAGGAGAAGAAGAGGAGGCACATCATGGAGCAGGGAACCCTCGTGTACAGCTGGAGCCTGGACGGTCGCAGGAGAAGCTCTTTTCCTGCAGCGGAGCTGGAAAATCCGTCGGAGAGGACATGGGAGAAATGAACCACCACCTCCCACTGGGACTGAGCCCCGTGCTGGCACCACTCTATGCCCGGCCAAGCGCCCACTGCCCGGACTGTGGTGACCAGGACAAGCTGCACTAGTGATCAGGAAGTGCAAAATGAGAAATACAACGGAAAAAGCAAAAACTCTGTTCGGCATCAACCACTCACCCACGGGAGACACAATTGCTGCCTGGAAACCCCCTTCTCCCTGTTTTCAGAGCAAGGACAAGACTCCTGTGTCGGCTCCCTGGAACTGTGGAAGGGCCCGGGAGCCACCTCACTCGTGGGCACTCCCAGCAATAAGCTTAGCAAGTGTGTGTATATATATATTTATATATATTTATCTCTATCTATTTCTCTCTCTCATGCAGCCCTAGGAATAGAGGAAGAGCAAACAGCCAAGCAAGAGGTCTGGAGGGAGCTTCTGTCTGTGGGGAGCAGGGCCCCCCAGCTGCCCCAGGCACCCCAAGGCTTCCACACTGCCCTCGCCTCCACAAGTGTTTTTTGCTAGCTTATATTTTACAGCAGTACCGTAATTCCCTACAATATCCTGAGCCCTGGCACTGCAGGAGCTCTGGGGCCAGAGCCGGCCCTGTCCCAGCAGGGGCTGCAGTCCCACCACCCTGCTGCTGGTGTGCCAGCCTGGAGGATGGGGTGGGCATCCAGGGTCTAGTGGGAGCCTGGGAGCTGCCTACAGCTCTCACCTTCCCTTGGCTTGCACGGGGTATCTGGGCTATCCCACCTTTCCTAGGGGTCCCTCCTGTCTGGGCAGGGGAGAGCAGGGGGACCGTGTCCCCTCTGCCACTGCCACCCCACCGGAGCACTGTGAGCCCCTGGAGCCCCTTCTCCAGCTGAGCCCATTTTCCCACCCATGGCAAACTACTGCTCAGCCTGGGAACCATCCCAGCCCCAGGACGTGCTGCTCCAGCTCCGGGATGTGCTGCCACCACACTCCTTGGTGCAGGCAGGACAGGTGACACGACCGCGGTGTGACCCTCTGCCACCGAGGGGGACAAGCTGGGTCTAGAGAAGAGAGAACTAGGGCACTAGCTTGAGCCTTTGGCTTTCAAAGCAGCAGGATTAAATAAATTCCGCCTAAAAATGAAGTCCTGGGAAGCCGGACATGCAGTGGTGAGGATGAGGAGGACGAGGAGGTGGCGAGTGCCGCAGGTGCCAGCGCTCCCCGATCAGCTGATGAGCGGAGCTGAGCGGTCGTTCGTCACCGTTGGCTTCAGCTGGACGTTGGCAAAGGGGTTTCTGCGGAGGAAGAGGAAGGAAGAGTTAACGGGGGGGACGGCAGCAGCGGGGCTGGTGAGGACGGGGCACCGGCACAGCGAGCGGGCACTGGCAAGACCCCAGGACAGCAGCTTTGGGAAGGGGTTAACTGGAAAGGCTCTGCCCTGTGGAGCCCCCAGCTGAGCTGCCCCCACTCCTCAGCTCCTCTCCCAGCTAAAGCCCTGGTAGGTGTCAGAGATGAGCCGAGGGCAGCTCCATGTGGGATGTTCTACCTCACTCTCCATCAGCCTAAAGCAGGAGATGCCATGGGGGACCAGGGCTGGAGAAGCTGCTCCAGTCCCCTCCAGGCTGGACTCACACAGTTCCCACAGATGGGAGCACCACAAGATCACCTGGCTCTGCACTACCCTGCTCCAGGTTATGGCCTGACCTCCCAGCCAAGGGCAGAGCTGGCAGCTCCCTACAGAGGCCTTGTGCTGCCTCTGGAGAAGTTAATATCCAAGAGTGTGGGAGATAAAGAACACCTGGATGGACTTGGCAGAGCCAAGAAACCAAGTCCAGCCCAGCCAGCCTGACCTGGGGTTTCACCTACCTGGGGTGTCCCCTACACTGTCCTGTCACTTGGCCACCATCACTTGGCCAGGACAGGATACAGGGGCTGCCTTGGCATGGGGAGCATCCTTACCCCACCCCAGGAGGTCTCTGTGCTCTCCCAGCAGGAGTTAACTCCCCAGAGGTGTGGGCAGCTCTGGGGGTTCCACTGACTGTCAGGGGTGCCTGGGGTCATGGGGTCCAAACCTGCACTGGGCAGGGAGCCACCAAGCAGCTCCCTACCCATCCTCCCTGTCTCACCTGCCCAGCGCCCCCAGCCCTCCCCAGGGAGCCACACAATCCCTCTCCTTTCCCCAGTGGAAGCTATGGCCATGGCACACCACACACATGGGTCCCGCAGCTGGGCCACTGGCCAGTTCCCCACCATGGAGGCACCAGATGTGGGTGCATGTAAAGTGCCGTGGTTACCATCTGCAACTGGACTGAACAGCTTTGGGATGTCCCCAGAAGCTTTGGAATGTCCCCAGAGCAGAAGGAGGAGGCTGGGACCCCCAACCCCCCTGGGACGGGCACTCACTGTCTGCCCCAGGCCCCCTCCTTGCCATCCCTCACCTCTCCACGTGCACTTTTTCTCTCCTTAGAAGATAAATGGCTTTCGCTTAAAAATAGGGTAATTAATTTCCCACCTAATTAATGCAGATGCTTAGATCACTTTCCCCCCCAGGATGCCAAAATAGATTCTCAGGACTGGAGGGAGAGGAAAACTTGCTTTGATGAATCACCCGGGGCTCTCATTTAACTATTTCTGTGCCGGCAGAGAAGAGCCATTGGGGTGGAGCCTGCAACTCCAGGGAATACAGCTCATGGATCAAACAGAAACGGGAAGAGGGCTCTCCAGGCTCTGCAGTGCTGAGGTGGGTGTCGGCTCCTGGGGAAGCTCCTCCATCCCATCCCAGGGGCCAGGATGAGGAGGCTCCCAGGACAAGGAACCTCCTGGGACAAGTCTACAACAAAAAAGCTGCTCAAAAAACTCGAGGTTAGTGCGGACGTTCCCTGCCCCGCCGGAGAGTGGGCTGGGGCTGGCGATGGGCACCAGAGACCTACAACCGAAGAGGCTGGTTAGGGGCAGCGGGAAGCGCAGGAGCAGCTCAGCATCCCGGGAAGCGCAGCCACGGCAGCGGAGCGAGTGGCCGTGCAGAGGCAGCGCGGTGAGACCCAGAGCTCCTGCCACCGGGCCGGGGACAAGCGGTGACCGATGGAGGGGACGGGGGCAGGGGGAAGCAGAGCGGTGGCACCGTCCCCGCGCAGCCCCGCGGCCTCACCCGCTGCCCAGCGCACCCAGGGCTCGGCCCCCCAACACCGTCAACTTACTAACTACGGGCAGGGGCACCTCAAAACCTGGCCACTTCAACATCGGGGCTGCAAGGGAAACAGAAGGCACGTTGGAGGACACCGGGACGCTTGATGGGAACAGAAGGTCATGGTTAAGGAGAGACTTAAGGCTCCGGGCAGGCGGCCCCAGAGCCCGCCGGCCACCCCGCACACAGCACGTCAGGCAGAGGAAACAGGAGGAAAAAGAAGAAAAAGGAGGAAAAGTCGTGTTTATTGAGTCGCTGGTGCTGCGAGGAGGGGAAGGAAGGGCACGGCCAGCCGGGAGCCACCTGGGGAGCGCAGGGGTCGGGCATGGCGGGGCTGCGGAAGGGAGGGGGGGCTTCCTTCCCCCGTGCCAGCCATCCCCGCTTTCCCAGCGCCGGGAAAGCGCAGCCGGAGCCTTGGCATGCGGGAGCAGCAGCAGCAGCATCACCCCCTCAGGTGCTCACAGAGGGGGGACCCGGCTCTTAAACAGTTGTCGCTGCTCCCGCTCAGCGAAGCTGTTTAATGCCAGCGGGGCCGGGCGTGCACGGGCAGCAGCCAGAGCCCCCCACGGCTGCCCTGCGCCGAGGGATGGAGCAAGGAACAAAAACATGGCATGGGAATGTGCGGCGGGTGATGCAGGCTATGAGGGCAGCACACAGGCACGGCAGCCGAAAAAGACACCGAGGCCCAGCTCAATGCAATAAATAAAACTTTTATTCGAACAATAACTCAGTACAGGGCACAATTCTCTCTGGCTTTTAAAAAAAGGTTTTTCACCACTTTACAATCTCCACACAGGCTTTGCTAGGCTGGGTTTGTGGTTTTTTTCCCCCTCCCCTACTCTCTGTCATTCAGCGTGAAATATCCTGGGTTAAAAATCTTTAGCAAAATTCGGACATCGATGCAGGAAGGGCTCGGAACAACGTGCCTGTAGGCGAGGAGATAACCCAAAAACTGGTCCGGGGGGAGTCTATTGCCAGCAATGTCCCAGTAAACAGGCAATGTCAGAGGTCTTAAAAATCACATCAGAAAAAAGCGTGAACAGCTTTGCAGTGGAGACGGCCACGGGCACTGGGAGGGCTACGGGCGAGTGCAGGAGCAGGACCCCAGTGCCAGGTGGGAGCCCCCCTGGGCACTGCCGAGCCCACCGTGGGGCACAGCGTGGGGGCTGCCTCGCCCAAGCCCGGTTTAGGGATGCGAGTGTGTCCCCGGACCCCCAGCCCTAACGTGAGGTAACAATACCTTGCTACAAAAAATATATATATATATTTATAAAACAACCAGGAGTAACCCTTCCGGGAGGGGTTCCCACGGCCGGCGGGACCCCAGCCCAGAAGCAGCCCTTTCCCCGGGGCGGGGGGTCTGTGCCATCCGCTTCTCCCAAAGCCACCGTGGTGGGATGGAAGCGGATCAGGCTGAGGGGGAGGCGCAGGGACGCTGCCCCCCCTCCGGGAACGGCATCCCGGGCGCGGGCATCCCGGATGCTCAGTAACAGTACGGACACCAGAGGCCATGCATATGTGTTCCAGTCTGGGAGTTTGGTCCAGGCTCGTGCGGGGCGGCCGGCGCGGCCCCGGGGGGACAGTGCATCGCTAACATCACACGGGAGGACAAACACGGGTCCCACTAAGTGTCAGCTGCGCTCGGGCTGCGAGCACAGGCAGTTTCTGCTTCGAAAAGGCTTCAGAAACAAGGGCACTGTGAACACCGGGGAGGGGTGAGAAGCACCATGGTTTCCTTGAAGATCACAAGAGTTTCGAATCCAAAAGAAGTAGAGAAAGAGAAACGAGAGGGAAGGAAAAAAAAAAAAGGGGGGGAAAGAAGCAGAAAGCTCTTCCAAGCAGCAAGGGGCCGCCGCGAGCCCGGGTGTCCTCACACCGTTGATACCAAACTGCCACTGCCGCTGCGGAACAAAGCACAGAGATGCCAGAGTGGCCGGGAGCGCCGCGAGGCTGCACCGTGCCGGGAGCCCAGCTCCCAGACGGGACCCGCCACGGAGAGCTCCTCCCCAGCCACGGCTGTGGGCTCAACCCCGAGAGCGAGACGGGGCAGCACCAAGGCAGAGGGGACGGGGAAGGTGCCAGGGAAAGACCCTGAGAGCGTGTGCTCTCCATGGCCTCGCAATCCAGGGGCAAGCCCGGAGCAGGTTGGGGAGACGGGACTCTCTGGAGGAGCACAAGGCTGGGGACACCAGGGCTGGCCCTGGGACCTGCCCTCCCCGGGTCCCTCCGCGCTCACAGATGACACCTGCACTGTGTCCCCCACCGCTGGCCCCATCCCAGCCACTGCCAGTGCCCTGGGGAGCCTGTGCAGGGACCCCCATGGGGACACGGCACCACGGCTTCACCCACAGCCAACACCAACAGTTCACAGGGAATGTGACAGGAAGGTGACATCTTACCTGCTGACGGACCTCGTCCCGTAGTCATCGAGACCCTGCAGAGAGGAGGGAGGAAGCACAGTGAGGGGGGATGTGGGCTGTGCCTGTTCAGGTGCCACCAGAGGGTCACAAACAGACCAAAGTGCATCAGGACCCAGGGATGGCAGGGCCGAGAGCCGATGCATTTGGAGAGGAAAGGGAGAGATGGAGATGGCTGGAGTGAAATTCAGACAGCAGGGAGTGAAGTTGCACCACTCTCTGCAGAATTTATCTGACCAGACACAGGAAAAAGAGAGCTGGGAGAGTCCTGCTCTGCTCTGCCCAGCCCTTCCATGAAACTGAGCTCGATCTGCTTCTGAGATGCCAAACACTTGGAAGAGGACTGAACAAGTTTGAGAGACCAGTGAAATGTTCTGTGGAAAGAGGGTTTGTCTGTATTAACTCCCACCAGAAACCCACAGGGTTTTGGACCATTTTCTCCTTCAGCCGGTACTGGATGGGCTTTGCAGTGGGGAGGGACTGAGGGGCAGATGGGGACTGAGCTTGGAGAACATCCCTTAAGGACATCCCTCCTGAGTGAGGGCCTGCCGTGGGATATGGTCATGGAGCAGCTCTGCTCCCCATTACAAACACAGGACCACTGCAGGAAAGAGTCACTGACCTCTGAACTGGCCACACACCAGGGATCAGAGACCCACCTTCCCACTGTCCCAGGAATGCTCCCAGTAACAAAACCCACTTCCAGCAGCAAATCTTGCTGGGAAAACGCAGCAAACAGCAAGAAGTGGGGCTGTCCTTCCACCCCACTCCCTGCAGAGAGGAGCAGATCCCAGCTAGAGCACCCTGCTGAAGGGTTGGGTGCTGAGTGGCCACCTCTCCCCCTCCTCATGCTCTCCCCACCTGCTGGCATGTGATGCCAATGTGGCTCATCCCATATGCTCATTTGGTGGGACAGCTCCACTACACCAGTGGCTCCTGGGTTAGGCTGATCCCATCTACACGTGCATCCTCCCCAGCTATCTGAGAAGCCCTGAGCTCTCTTTAGACCCCTTCCAGAGCCCTGGCTGGGGTCTGCCCCAGCCCCACCGTGGGACTGTCACCGGCTTGAATTGGCATGCGCCAGAGAAAACGCTTCCAGCTGCCTGTGAGCAGCCTGTTTCTGGTGGGAGACTCCCATGGAGTCAGCAAGTGTTGTCCTTTGGGGGTTTACGGGGCTGTTTTGTGCCATTGCCCCCTGTGCCTTGCCTGTTCCCCCTCATCCACAGCTCTCCTCTCCTGCTGCCTCCCTGCAGCCCTCGTCCCTTCTCCCCAGGAGAGGGGGGGAGGTAGGAGCAGGGCCTCAGGCAAAGCACGTGGGTCACCAGGCAAAAACCAGCCAAACTGCCGTAAATCCCAAGGGAAACATTGCGTGCGTTGGACTTACAGCTGTCGACCTAGTGTAAGGCTTGTAGTGAGCGGAGGGTGCTTGGCAGAGGCCACTGGAATAGTCTTTAATTGCACACCCATAGGGCATTAGGTAGTCCTAAAACAACGAACAGAGGTTGGAGAGCCGCCCTCCGGCACCCCCACGCATCCGACCACGCCGGGACCGGGAACACGCTCCCGCACATCCCGCCCAGGCGGAACGGGGAAGCCACAGACCCCCAGCCACCATGGCCAGGGACCATGCCCAAGGATTTGCTCCAGCATCCCCCATTCCTAAAACGTCCCCCGGCGTGGGAGCAGCCCCGGCGGCGCGGGCTCACCTGGGAGAAGGCGGGCACGGCCACGCTGTACGGCCGCTGCTTGAAGGTGCTGCCGCCCTGCGCCGGGAAGGCCTGGGAGGCCATGCCGTAGTCGGGGGGCGGGATGGCGATGTCGTCCTTGTCCAGGAGGTTGCCGGTGCTGCTGCTCTTCCCTTGCTGCAGGCTGAGGGGGATCCAGAGCAGAGGCATCAGCACCAGCCCACACCGTGCAGAGACCCCCGGGCCACTCGCCCACCCATGGCAGGACCCCACGGCAAAAGTCAACCCAGCCCAGTGACCACCTGCCTGTGCTGGGAGTTATTTCTAACAAGAATTCTTAAATAATTCCTAACCCTCATCCCAAGTCCACAAGGCCATCCTGGAAGTGGCACAGGGAGCCCCTGGCACAATGCTCCTACCTGGTGTGGACCCGCTCGCTGCCATCGTTGTCGAGGACCCGTGTGTAGGAGAAAGGAAACCAGCCCCTCCTGAAAAGCAAAGGCAGGGGTGAATCCAAAGGTTTATCCATGGAGTATCCAGATGAGGCTGCTTTCAAGGACAGCCCCCACACTCACATTTTGGTTTTCTCGCTCTCTCCGTAGTGCCAGCCGTCCCGGGCCTCTGGGACCAGCAGCGTGATGAGGTCGCCCTCCTTGAAGCTCAGGAGGGTGCTGTTGTCCCCAGCAGCATGAGAGAAAATGGCCTGAACCCTCGTCCTGCCGTTCCTCTCGAGCCCGGCAGCCATGGAGCTGGAGCGTGGCAGTGTCTTGTTTTCAGCTGCAGGGGACAGAGACTAGTGAGTGCCCCAAGTCCTTGACCCCCTGGCCATACCCAGGCACAGGACAGGCCCCTACCCTTCCTTAGTTTGTCCCAGGTGCCAACAAAGCCTTCAGTGTGACTCACACCTTCCCCCTGAACAAACAGGTTCAGACTCTTGGCATCACCCACCAGCTGCAGCAAAGGGAGAAGCCTCCCTGCACCAGATTCCACAAGATTTTCCTCCTGGAAACCCTGTGAATCCCCATGGCAGAGCCCAGCTCCATCACCTCCTAAGCCCCAGGTCAAGAGGGACGGGCAGCCCTTGACACCAAGGGGGTGCTGTTGGCCACTGCCCCGTCACCACCAGCATCCCCAATAACCGTCCCCACCGTGGCTGCAGGTGGTCCCTGCCGACCTCTCCTTGAGCATCAGCTGGCACAGGCAGACCCAGGCCCCCCCAGCAGCCCCCCGAGGGGAGGACGGGGCCTCACCTGAGGCGTAGCTGTTTTTCGGTGGCACGTTTTTGCGAACTGGGAGTGTGTTGGAGTAAGAGTCACTCAGCTGCTTCTGAGGCTGGGGAGGAGATAAAGATTTGGGCTGTGCTGGCTTCATCTCAGACCAGTGGTTGTACCCGTCGCTGTCTGGGCCTGAGACTCCGTTCATCACCGGCATGGCCTCCTGCGCCGACATGCGCTACGAGAGAGGAGGGGAGGGGAACAGGGGAATGTCCTCGTTAGGCATCCCAGCTCAGTTTGGGGGAGGGGGCAGATCAGAGCTTCAGCCTGTTTGGTTTAGTTCCCCAGCCAGAACACACTGCTCTGGGGGGAGCAGTGGGGTCACCTCTCTGGTATTTTACTGCTCTGAGCTGCCTTGCACCTCCTGAGCTCTGCTGCTCGGCTCGTGACCCCACATCACAGGGGAGACCCTCTTCCAAAGGGGTCACTTCAGGGGCTTTCTCCCACAGTTACTGGGGTACCTGGGTTCAGTTCCACAGCTCTGGGACCAGCCTAATGGGGACCAGCCCGGCCAGACAAGTCCAGCTTGTGGGTTCCCCAAACCACCCCCAGGAGCCCCTGTCCCTCCACAGTTCAGTGACCCCGGTGGGATGGGATGGGACAGACTGCCTGTTCCCATGCCAGGCTCCTTCCCACATCCCAGGATGGCACATGCATGGAACTGCCCGTCCCTGTGGATCAGTGACAGCCCATCCAAAGGCCACTTGCCGAGGACAGCGGTGACACCGGCCCGGGCTCGTCCCTCCGGCTTTGCTCAGAAGGGCAGCACAGCTTCCACCACGGAGATACTTACTCCTACAAAAGGTGCCAGCTCCGGGGGGACAGGGAGAGGTTTGGCACCAGGGATGGGGTCAGAGATGATGAGGTTGGACTTGGATGTGGACAGAGGGCTGGGCATAATGGTGCCATTGCTGCTGGCAGCCATCTGCTGCATCAGCTGTATGGCGCGGTCCGGGATCTTGTTGGGATCCGAGCAGGATTGCTGCCACAGCGGCAGCTTCTGTGTCAGCATCTCCTTCCCCTGCAAGAGGAAAACAAGGTGTGAGGGCACAGGGTATGGAAAAATGCCCCAGCTCTGTCCTGCTCCCCGGGCAGCTCCACATGGATCCAGGGCTGAGCTGATCCGGGATTGATCAACAGCTCTGTGCGTGGCATGGGCATGGTAACACACAGGGATGTCCTGCTTCCAGGCAAGATAACACAGAGGGATGTCCTGCTTCCAGGCTCTGATGGCAGCTGAGTCAGGGCAGTGTCATGAAAAATGGGAAGGAGGGAAGGAAAAGGTAATCCATCTCCCTGACTTATTCTGAGGCATCCTGTGTGCAGCATCTGCGGGCTGCAGGGAGCTGGGCAGGGCACTGGGCTCTGTGTGGAACAGAGGAATAAAGCCTGCCCAAAGGCTTGGCAGGGCACAGCCCATGCTCCGTGCTGGCCCCACATCCCGAGGGATGAGCAGCATCTTTTGGGTGCTCAGCCCTGACAGCCTCCAGCTCCCCTCACTGCATCCAGACTCCGCTGCTCCCTGCCCGTGGAAGGACCAGCAGCCACCTGCTGCCACGCTCCAAGCCAAGGGGGGAAAATGTCCAAAACCCCCTGAGGTCACTCCCCCGCTACAGCAGAGGGTGACCCTACACTTTTGCCTGACTTCACCTGGAGACAACTTGGTCCCCGTGTATCAAAACCCCACTAAGCTAATTTCGAAGTCCCAGTACATTTCCCCAGCAGCTCCAGCCTTGGGACCCTCCAGGAGCTGCAGGCAACAGTGGGATGGAGTTTTTACCTGGACACCCACCACACTCTGGACAAGCCACCTGCAAAGTCCCTCCTGCAAAATCACCCTCCGTGTGCTGCTGCAGCAACAAGTTTTTGGCTCATGCCTGCTGACCCCCAGCCCTGGGGGGATGTTTTTCCCTCCTGCACTGCGCTTGCCATGCCAAGCGTGGATCCATCCCGCGGCGCAGCGCGAGGACAGCGCTGACTAATCCCAACTCCCTCTCCTGCTCCCGGAGCCAAGCGTGGCAGTGACAGATGGCTGCTGTGAGCCACGGAGGGTGGTGCTGGGGAACAACCAGAACGGGAGCACGAGGCTGCAGGAGCAGCACCGGCGTTCCCAGCCCTCATCCGGATGGATTCTGCTCTGGGCCAATATGGGATGTCATATCAACACGGGCAAGAGGGATGTGGGGCTGCCACAGGCAAGAGGGATTAGGAGCAGCTGTTCCTGCTGGGGCATCCCCCTCTGTCCCTTGAGCTGCAGGAGCCCCACCAGTTTTGCCTTTTGGAATATCAGGCTGTTCCACAGGCAGTAGCTTGAGACGGGAGCATCCCCCCGGTGACGGGGCAGCCGGGACCGGCTCCGGTGGGTGCGACTCACCTTGGCGTGGTAGGTGATGGCACTCTTGGCCACCGCGCACTGCTTCTCCACCAGGAAGCAGAACCGTCTCCTCTCTTCCGTCAGAGCTGTCTTGTAGCCATCAGACACGTAGTTTTCCAGCTCCCCTTGCTTGTTGCTGATGGCTTCGATGTACTAGAACAGGGAGAGGAGCTGCCGTCAGCACTGAGCGCGGGGCAGGGGGTGCTGCAGCATCCTCGGAGAGGGGCCAGTGGTGGGGGCAGCAGGCAGGGAGCCCCCCCAGCACACATGTGCCTGCACAGCCCCTCCAACCCGCCCTTACTCATCGGAGCCCCCCACGCAGAGGCGCTGACTCAGCTCGTGGGCTGCCGGGACGAGCTGTACCCGCGGCCGCCCGCTCACCACCCGGGCTCGGAGGCGCCTGCGGGGGCCGGGGGGGCTGCCCCGATGGCCCGGCCCTGGCAGCGGCCCCCGCAGCCCCCGGCTCGTCCCTGCCAGCGCACAAACCGCCGCGGCTCCGGCCCGGGCTGAACGCCCCCGGCACCTCCCCTGCTGCCGCTGCCTGCACCCAATCCCTGCTGGTGTCCATCGCCGGATGGGCAGGGCTGTGCGCCGGGAGGGGGGGCGGCAGCGGGATGGCACGTGGGCCCCTCCAACACACACAACCAGCAGCGATGCTAAAACTACCACCAGTGTCTTCAATCTGTGTTAGCCAGTCAGCCACTGGGACGCAAGGACAGTGCCAGGCAGTGCCACACGCTGGCACAGGACCCCATGGTGAGGACTGTCGGGGTGGCTGTTCCCGGGGGCTGCACCCCAGGGCTGGCAGACGCTGTGGCCCTGCCAGTGCCAGACAGAGATTCCACAAATGTGGCAGCCAGAGGCTCCTCCACTGGCTCCTGCTCTCCCTGCGTGCCAGGTGCCAGCACGGCTATGCCACACCAAGCTGTGCCAGCACTGGCACACGGGGCTGGGGGAACACAGGGGACTCCAGGGACTGCAGAGCACCACCAGCACCCCTGAGCACGGAGCACACGAGGTGTCCCCAGCTCCCCAGCCTGCCCACTTTCTCCTCCCTCCATCCCTTTGGATGCCCCCAGCTCCACTGCAGAGCTCCCACCTGTGATGTGGCACCAGGAGAGCAGCATCTGTCACCCACCCATCACTGTCCTGCCCTGTGACACCTCCTTGTCACCGGCTCTTCCCTGGGATAGCAGCACCAAGCTGGAAAGCCACAACCACCCCCAGCCCAGGCAGGGCTGGACCTACTTCAGGCAGCCCGAACTTCTCCAAGACAGGAATCAAACTGGAAATTCAGGGCCCGGAGCAGCTTTGCTGCTTTCTTCACGGTTGTCAGTTATTTTTAGCATGCTACAATATTTATTAGCAGACATAAAATGGAGCAAACCAACAAAAGCAATGAGATTCAGTGACATCCCAGACTTCAAAGGGGTCTTATTTCGGGGCTGGACCTGGTCCTGTTCCCACCCTGCTCTGAGCATCCCTCCAAGAGCAAACCCTGTGCACGGCTCGTGGCAGACCAAGCAGGTTTTAGGTCTCCCCACAAGCACCAACACAGGTGGGGGAAATGGGTTAAAAACCCAGTCTGCAACCAACAACCCTGTTTCAAGGAGAGGTTCCCCCCCCCAAAATTAGAAAAACCAGTGCAAATGCCCGCAGTCAGGAACAGAAATAAGTGAAGAGAACTGAGCTGATGCCACCGGGCGCAGAAGTGGAAGTGGTGGAGGTTTTGGCGTCAGCCCCAAGCAGAGGTATGGAAGGCCGGTGGCAGCCGGGCTGTGCCGGCACAGCGGCACCGGGGCCGGCAGGGCACGGGGAGGAGGCGGCAGCAGCCCCGGACACGGGGGGCGGGAGCAGGCGGCCGTGGGAGGATGTGCTCGGGGAAGGCATCGCTCCTGCTGTGGGCTTGGGACAGCAGCACGCCGCCTCCTCCCGGGTATTATTAGCCGGGAACAGCACAGGGACAGAGCCCAGAGGCGTCAGCACGGCAGTGGTGATGGGAACCAGGGGGATGGATGCCCTCAGTGCCAACCCGGAGAGCCCCTGGCTCCCCCACGGTGCCCCAGCTCCTCTATGGCAGCTCTGCTACACCTGGGATGGATCGAGCATTGCTATCCCCACACACAACTCCCCAGAAAGTTTCTGTCCCAGGGGAAGCACCAGGACAATGCTCCCACTCCTGCAGAGCCCCATTTCTGGAAGGCAGCACAGCACAATCCTGACAGCACCTGAAATAGCAGGAGCGTGGGAGCACACACAGACCCCGACCCCCAAAACTCATCCTGCCTAATTTACTAACTGGGCCATTGAGAACGAGAAGGTGAGGACTGAAATGAGTCCAGCTCCAGCTAATTTGGTTCAGCAGCACAAGGACCATCCCGCCACGGTTCCCTGTAGGATCACCATCCCCAGGTCAGCCACTGCCATGCCCCAGCACGGCGGGCGGGCACAGCTCCAGCCCAAACACACCACAACTCAGGGAGAAACCCTTATCTCAGCAACGTGAGAGCTTCAGTTCTAACCATGATTTAAATATGCAGGTACAAGCTTTATTTACACCCCTGCTTGCAGGCTGGTTTTGCAAGGATCCTGCTGATTCCTCAGCTGAGGAAAGGCTTGTCTCAACGGCTCAGCCAGTCGGAACACGCCGCTTCGCGAGCACAGAGCCCACGCTCTAAACTTAGTACTCAGAGCTTTATATACTTTATGTAAATATGCTCCGTGTGCCATTGATTTACCCAGAGCCTTGATTTTACACGTTGTTCCATCACAAAATGGCGAGCGACGCTCCTTGTTCACGAGGTGCTTTTCAGTTTGGGTTTGCTCGAAACGACAGTGAGCTTTCAGATAACGCCTAGAAAGGCAAATTTAAATAAAAACCCTGCTAGATGTGCCAGATGCACAGGGAAAAAGTAACACACAGATGCACAGGGAAAAAGTAACACACAAAGCACAGTGTAAAAACCTCAGGAGTACAGTCCTTGGGAGCCAAACACCTTTCTCAGCTTGGCATGATGTGATACCCCCTGTAAGGGCTGGGGGAAGGTGCTTCACCCCAGCCTTGGTGCACTCAGGCTCTGCAGCAGCCTCTCCAAGAACCCCCCGACCACTTGAGTGCTGCATTGCAAATTGAGACCTTGATTTAGGTTGTCAGCTTCAAATTCACATTTTAGGCATTGTCTAAATAGAATATCCAGCTTAAAGGAGGAAAACCTCCCAATTTATGACCTGAGCAGGCAGAGAACCAGCCACAGCAGTGGTCATGGCTGTGCCCAAGGCCAGAGCAAACACTGGAGCCACCCAACAGCCCCAGAAAATCTTTTCTGGGTTTCTAGGTTGGAGAGGCCTCAAATAACTCCCCCGTCCCCCCCCTGCCTCCTGCATCCACTTCCAATTCACGGGAGCCGCTGACCTAATTAGCAATGTCAGCACGTGGCGGGGCTGGGCAGAGGCTCTGGCACAAGAAGCTGCCACAACACAGGTCTGGCAGAGCCAGGGCCCCTGCCTGGTGCTGGGGTGGACCCCCAGCCGTGGGGGCTCAGCCAGGGACCCCCCCAGTGCCCGGGCACACGAGCGATGCCAGAGCGACGCTTGGCCACGCTGGGCAACCTCCACCCTGCAGCCCAACCAGGTCACCCCCACGGTTAGACAGAGAATTGGGAACGTGAGAAGGTGGGAAGGGAACAAGCTGCTGCCAAGCCCCAGCTCGAGCGGCCGCTGTCGGCCCCGGCACGGAAAGGCAGGGCACACACAGCCCTGGCGTGCTGCTGACACCTTCCCAACACCACAGCGACACATCCAGGGGTGTGAAGATCAAAGAGCAGCTGGGAAGTGTCAAGACCCGAGTTCCTTTCAAGCACACGCTGCTGTCAGAGCAGGTAGAGCAGCACCATCCTCACCGCGCTCCTGCCGAGCCTTTGACAACCACGTCCTCACTGGGAAATTAGTTCAAACTGTTCCATCCCAGCCAGGAACGTGCAAACTGGTTGGGAATGTGAGCCAAGGGCAACGCTGAGCCCCACCACAGCAATCATCACTACAGACCCTTCTTGGTGATCGGGTGCATCTGGCACTGATCAGGCTGAGAGAAGGACTGGGCCCAGGAACGAGCAGGAAGAAGCTGCCTTGGGGTCACCAGCACACCACAGCTTGGGCTGCCAGGACACCACAGCACTGGCCTGAAATCCAAGGGGAACACATGGTGGACATGCTTCTATCCTGCACCAAGAGGGATGCAGAGCAGGGAAGGGACTGTGCCACAGCACCAGCTCCAGCTGGTGACCCTAAGGAGGGATTGCTCAGGACCAGTGGCACAAAGCAGTGGAAAAAGACAAAGAAAAGGTCAGGGAAGCAAGAGGACTCAGCTGTGCTGGATCAATGCAGCAGGCTGAAATACCTGGAAGGAGTAAACACGAAGAGAAGGGAGGATTTATTTAGGGAACCACGAGGGAGAATAGCTAGAAAGTAATGGGATAAAATAAAAAAGAAGTTAGGCTGATTAGCAGGGCAAGAGCATCTAAGCTGAGGAACAGTCTCAAGGCAAAAGAGCCGAAACCCTCCCATGGCACAGAGCCGAGGTGAGGAGAACCAGCAGCCAGGGATGCTCAGCCCCGACAGCTTTCCCTCATTCCCAGAAATTGCTCCTTGCATGGAAGCTGGCAGACCCCCCAGAACCACATGGGCACCCTGGAGCCCTGAACCTTTGCCAGGGAGAGGACAACCTCCCCCTGCCCTGCCCAGGCACATCTCCACACACTGCCCCTGACGTGCTGCCCGGCTGCCTCCCTGCTCCAGCTCCAGCTCCAGCCACAGCCTGCGCCCGGACACTGCTGCTGATGGTTATCCAAGGTGATGTGGAACGCAGAGCGGATCCTGGGGAGCCAACCCCAGGAGTCCCTGTGCTCCAAGGACACCAGCCAGCCTCCCTCCCCCGAGAAGGGCTGTCTCCCCTCGTTACACTCCCTGTCTCCCCTCGTTACGGTCCCTGTCTCACACATCTGCTCACTGGGCACCAGCCACATCCCTTCCCTGCTCAGCACCAGCCACGCACACATGTGACATTACATAAAATTCAGAGAGCAGAGCAGCAGGGAAGCGCTGGCTCCAGCCGGCTCTGCGGGGGCTTCACCAGCAGCTGCTTAAAACCTTCCCTCGACACAGGGACACCCCCGAGCAGCGGCTCCGGGCACAAGGTTTGGTACCAAAATGCTCATCAGACACAGCCCTGAGCTGCACAGGCACTTCCAGGGAACACTTCCAGGGATGGGGCAGCCACAGCTTCTCTGGGCAACCTGTGCCAGGGCCTCTCACCAACCTCACAGGGAAGAATTTCTCCCCAGTATCCCATCTAACCCTGCCCTGTGTCAGTGGGAAGCCATTCCCCCTTGTCCTGTCACTCCAGGCCCTTGTCCCAAGTCCCTCTCCAGCTCTCTTGGAGCCCCTTTAGGCACTGAAGGGGCTCTGAGGTTTCCTCAGAGCCTTCTCTTCTCTTGCTGGGTTTGGGCACATCCTCCCTCAGCCTAAATCCTAATCCAACCTGCAGAGAATCACCTGGAGCCGCAGAGCTTTCAGAGTCCTTCTCCATTTGACTTTCACATAAACCTCATAACCTGGTTTGTGCAAACTTTGTGTCAGTTAGAGCTTCCTGACCTACACCTAAAATTACTTCTCCTGATGGGAATATCCAAATGAGGTTTCAATGACAGAAGTTTATAAAACCCCCCAGTTATTTGGTACAGTAGTATTTAATGCTTAAAATATTCCCACAGGAGCAAGGACAGGTGTGGGCAAAAGAGAGATCCGGGCAGAGGCTGAGCTCAGTCCCCACAGCCCACCCAGGGTCACCCCCTGTCACCCAGGTCAGGTACAGCTTTTCACCACAAACACCCGGCCTCAGCTTTGCTGTTTAGGCTGAATTACAGCCAGTTTGTCTCAGGACAGTGCAGAAATCCAATTGCTCACAGCACTAATAAGATTTGATAAATAATTTGAACCAACATAACTTCATTGCTGAGCTGCTGATTCAATCCAGGTCCCAAACCCATCATGACCTTGATTTCATGGCTTGATCACAAACCAGCCTTTAATGAAATTACAGCACTTGAGCTTCCTCGGTGACTGTTTAATCTTAATATTGTTTTCATTCTTCTTCACCAAACACGTGAAGTGAATGGAATTGGTTTGTTCTCCCGGTTTCCAGCACAGGTCAAAGCCCCATCTCAGTCACTCCTGGAGGAAGATGAGCCATGCGAGGCAGGCGCTGCCTCAGCCCTCAGCCCTCGCGTGGAGCAGCAGCTCGGCACTGATTCATGAGGAACAAAAGCCTGGCTTAACACAACGCTCAGCAGCAGCAACCCACAACCACAGCATCGCTCCCCACCACGGCAGACAGGGCTGTGGAGCTGGAAAATCACTCCTGCAGCCTAATGGCACTTGGAGCTGCTTTAGAGCTACGTGAGCTGTCTGCACTGCAAACCACGAGGTGTTTTAACTCCTCAACCATTTAATGCTGCAACACTCGTCCTCATCTATGAAACTCCAAAAATCAGCGCAAGGGAGGGGCTGGATGGTGTGGGACATGCAGGCAAGCCTGGATCAGCTCTCCCCACGCAACGAGGGGCTGGGGCAGCTCAGGAGAAGCCTCCTGCAAGTGTCCCTGAGTATCACACCTCCTCACCCCCCCTGCTCCAAAGCTACTGCTCACCAGCCATGAGATAATTCGTTATGTGCAGTTCCTGCTGAACTTCAGCACTCATTTCTTTATAAAGGGGGAAATCTGAATTAAAGAGTAAGAGGGGAGACATTTGGGCCGTTTCACTTGGTTCTGTGATTGATCCAGCAGAATGTGGAACCAGAGCCACACTGGTGTCCCAGCCCAGACAAGGGGTGTCCTCTGCCACTCAGCAAAGCAGAGCCTGGATGGCCCCAAATCTCCTCTCACCTTGAGGGATGTTACATAAACCAGGCCCTGGAGCTCCCTGCAGGACAGCACTGCCACTGCTGCTCCCCCACACGTGTCTCACCCACCCGTCTCGCTGCCAGGCGATGACAGGATGTGGTCACTCAACAAGTGGTGAAGAGGCAGAAAGGAGCAATTCTGCTTCCCGGAGCATTAAATATGAAGAAAGATGATGACAGAGCATCAGACTCCCGGCTGCTGGAGCAGCTTATGTGCATGAGCCCTCAGAAGAGCAAGATGTTATTGCTGTACTGAAGGAGGTGACTGATGCAGCTACCAGGACGTTTCCATCAACAGCAGCTTCTCCCACGACGAGACAAGTAACCAGCCCCAGCCCACCAGGAGAGCTCCATCCAGCCGTGGCTGATCCGCCTGTGGTGCAGCCATCAGCATCCCAAAAGCGTCACAAGGTGCCTCCAGCAGCTTTGAGGACGACACCAGGGGTTTGGCAAGTGGCCACAGGGGTGGCTTCAGGCCAGCCCAACAGACTGAGCACCACGCAGAGGGGGAGCTGCCTGGGGCTCTGCTTTAACCAGCCTGAGAAAGACTTTTGTGGAGCAAAGCCCAACAAAGTTTTGCAGATGCTCCTGATCCACTCAGAGCCCAGTTCCAACTCCACAAAGCCCAGTTCTAACTCCACAAAGCCCCACACAAGGCTCCCTCCTCGGGCCAGTGCCCACTGGACCCCTCTTGCTGCAATCCCTCTGCTCTCTGATGCCCAGGCAAAGGTAAGAGCAGCATCAAGGGTGGCCCAAAACAGTCTCTTTTTCTGTTAAGGAAACACCAGCTCTGCAGGCAGTGGAGAGCAGAGGGGGACTGCCCTCTTGTCTGAATCCAGCAATTTTAACTTTGTATTTTGATCTAAAGCAAAGCAAACCCCCGCCGTGCGCAGCTGGGCAGTCACAAAAATCACAGAATATTCTGAGTTGGAAGGGTCTCATAGCTCTCTAAGCTCAAAAGCCATCATAAGGCTTTTTCAGAGATAAGCGCTTCCTAAATACTTACTGCTGGAAGATTAAAGGGAATGAGTGCCTGATCCTGTTTCCCTGCCCAAAGAGCTGTGCTAACAGGACTATCCCATCCCTGCCACATCACAGCGGGAGGCTCAGCCCACCCCTCCTCTCCAGCTGCACACAGCCCAGCCCTGGATGGATTCCCTCCTCCTCCTCCTCCGGGTGTGGGATGGGGATCCCTGTGGGTTTGGCAGGAGAGGGCTGGCTCTGGCAGCACTTTTGCTCTGTTGGTCCCACCAGCAAGTGGAGGGTAACAGAGGTTTGATCCTTGTGTCCCCCACGCTGAGCTTGGTGCCTGACAGTGCTTTTCTCGCTCAGCAGGAATTTCGGAGCCAGGGCTTGTGGAGTCACCACGCTCAGAAGTGGTTTGAGCTGCTCAGCTCTGGAGAACACACCAGACCCCCCCTCAGCGGGCTGGTACAGACCTATGCTGTGCCAGCACCTTCCAGCCCCACTCCAGCACCTTCCAGCTGGCTGTGCCACCTCAGCACTTTCCAGCCCCATTCCAGCACCTTCCAGCCCCATTCCAGCACCTTCCAGCCCCATTCCAGCACCTTCCAGCCCCATTCCAGCCCACTGTGCTGCCTCAGCACCTTCCAGTTCTGTGGCTCCACACAGGACCCACACCCCAAGTGACGATGGCGGGTACGTTTTCCTCCTCCAGTGCTTGTTCTGATTCACACCACCGTTTCCCAAATTTCAGTGCAATTAGGAACGTCACTTTCCCAGCACAGCCCTCCCCGTAACTCTCTGCTGGTGGCTAAATGCCACCAAATGACATTAAATTCAGCCCCACGAGCAAAGTGCCACTGATATTCAGATCCCCTTCAGCAAACAGGGATCACTGACATGTCACTGCCCGTGGCACCTGAAGAAACAGGCTCTGGTCCCAACACAACACACACTCCCACGCCTCGAGACAGGACTGGGTAATTCCTGGATTCTGGCTTCATCTTCCCCTTTCCAAGCACTACTCGTGCTGCCATCACTTACAGCCTCAACTCCCAGCAGCACCCGGCTGGCAGCCAGGGCACGGAGGTACATCAATTATCCCTTAAAGTTTGCCAGGACCAGCCATGCTCTGGGCAAAGCTCAACCTGAAGGCTGCAGAGTGCAGGAGACACGAACTCCTGCTGTGAACCCACCAGAGACCCGAGTGCCTCCGTCCCTTGGCACGTCCTGGCACTGCCACGATGTGCTTTGGATGCTCCTCAGCGAGACCCCGAACCCCACTCCCCCTCTGCAGGGAACCCCAATGCCTCACCCCGCAGCACAGCCCCCCGAGATGCTGTGAGGGACCCCGGCCCCCCGAGGAGCGTGCGGTGGGCGCGGAGCCCACGGAGCCCACGGAGCCCACGGAGCCCACGCGCCGTCACACCGCGGTGACTCAGCACGGCCGCCCCCGCCGCGGGGGGAAGGGGCACCCGGCAGGAAAACACCCAGAGGACGATGGCTTGGGCACAACAGAAATCAATGGTCTTTCGGGCGTCACTCACGAAGCAAAAAGGCGAGAAGCACCGGGAGCAGCGGGCTGGGTTAGGCCTTGGCACACGCCCGGCACATCTGCCGAGGGGAGCTCGCAGCCCCCACTCTGCACCGTGGCCATGAGAACAGCCTGTTCCACTGCTGGCTGCCACCCCCTCCCTATCCACACCTCCCACACCCCACCAGAACCCCGAATTCTGCTGGGCCCTTCCTCTAAAGAGAGCAGCAAGTCCTTATCTAAGCACTCGCAAGACCTTGGCCACCTCCACCGTGCAGCACCAAGCACCTGCCGCCAGCCCAGGGACAATGCCTGTGTCCCCCCACCCGAGATTCTCGTGTCCCCCCGCCCAGGGCCCTACCTGCAGTTCCTTGTCCGAGTACTTCTGGGGGTTCTTGCTGCCTTGGCTCTTCTTCCGAAGTTTCTTCAGCTCTGCCTGGCACTTGTCAAGTGAGTCCCCCTTGCTCCTCTGCTCTGTCTGGTATTTTTTCAGTGCAGCCTGGATATCACAAGAGAAAGCTCAGCCTCAGCCACAGCTCCTGCTGCCAAGGGGTGACAGCAATAAGCAGAGACACCTCCCCCCCCCCGAAAAGTGGGATCCCCATGGCCCGGAGAGCAAACAGGGACTGCAACAGCCTGACACTGGGGACAGCACTGTTCTGTGCACGTGTGACACTGGGGACCCTTCTGTAAACAGGGGCAGGAGCTGTGGCAGGGGACAACATCCCTGAGCCGGGAGTGGGTGACGGGGGGGATGTGGGGACACCCGAGCCAAGGGTTGTGCTGCTGGACACGCGCCCGTAACTCACACTCAGGTACCGGGAGTCCAGCTCCACCTTCTGCTCCAGCTGCGTCAGGAGCTCGTTGTGGAAGGACTTGAGCTGCAGGGAGAAAGAAAACACATGGTTCTTGGGGAGGGCTGGCAAAATGTGGGGGCCTGGGGGCATCAGGTGGCACCGGGGATGGCAGGTGAGCAGGGCTGTACAGACAGAGCACAGGCTGATGGCAGCGAGGGACAGGGACACTCAGAGGGGGCCCAGCAGGGCAGAAACAGATGCCCAAGCAGAGCAAACCCTTTGGAGCTCAACAAATCCATGTCAGAGGGGCTGCTGTCACTCAGACAAGGCACTTTGCACCAGCAGAGCCCCTGGCCAGGCAGAGACCCCGGCACGCCGGGCTGGGCACTCACCATCTCCTCCAGCTGGTTCTGGATCTGCCTGTGGACTTCTGCCATCTGGAAGAGCACGTCCCCTGCAAAGAGAAGATGAAGGGAGGGTGTTTGAGGCACCAAGCTCAGGGGGACACCCTAAGGTTGGGGCAGGCAGTGCTCTGCTAGCAAAGAGGGATCTGCATCCAGACCCAGGGGTGCTACTGGAATGCCCCTGTGCCCATCTTTGGGGAGCTGCAGGGAGGGGCAAACAGGCAAACCTTGTGTAGCAGGAAGGGAAACAAGGACAAGCAGCAGTGGGATCCCAGCACCCGGGGCAGCCCTTCTCCCCCAGGCCAAGCACAGGGCACCCACAGCGGGCAAACACGGCCCTGGCACTCAGTGCAGGTCACAGGACATGGGGCTAAGCCCTGGGCTGGTATTTGCCTCAAAACCACTGATTTGTTCAGCCTCAAGGGCAGAGCCAGGGCTGCAGCTGCTGCCCAGGGCATCCGCAATGTGGCCAAGCAGTCCCAGCTCTGCTCTGTCACTTCCTTTCATTTTTCTTTTCCAATGCAGGATTCCAGCCCCACACCCAGTGCTGTTCCTGGAGGAAGGGCAGTGTCCTGTCTCAGCAGAAGCCCCAGAGTGGTTGGAGCCAGACACACACACGGAGGATCCTTCAGGAGCAGAGCCAGCGCTACCGCTCGACTGAAAGCCCCGATCCTGTCTCTGGATCAGAGCGAGCCTTGGGGAGAGCCCAGCTCTGTCAGCTCCATTCAGGGCTGAGTTTGGAAGCTTTGCCTTCCAGCACAGTGGGTTGCAGCTTCCCACAAGGCTCCCAACCTCCATGGAGCTGTCTGAAAATGGAAAGCCATGAGCCATGTCTCTGAGCTGCTCCTGCCTCAGGACTTGGCCCTGGCAGGTCCCAAGCAGGGCTGGGGGATCCCTGACACCCACTGGAGCTCTCCAAAGGGGAGTAGCATCCCACATTCCATCCCAGAAAAGCAGAGCAGCACCTGTGACAACTCAAAGACAAAGTGACAACCTGTGACAAAGATACAGCCCATAAATACATACACGGAGTTTCAAAAAACAGAACCCAACCCCAGGGATGGGAAATGCAATGGGAAGGGGACACCAGCCCCAGAGCCCTGGGACAAACCTCAGGGAGGCTGGGATGAGCCAAACCAGCTCCTCACCGTGCAAGGGAACGACTGGGACCCTCATCCAGCACAGATGGTGCACGCCAGCCCAGCCCAGCCCTTCCCCGTCCCTCCACATCCCTGGGCACGTGGGCCCCGCTCCAGCCGAGTGTCAACACCCCCAGCCGACCAGGAACAACCTGCCCCAACATTTCTTTGCTCTCCTGGCTGGAGCAATTCGTACTTTGCACCATACACCGTGTCTCACGCTGTTCTGCAAACATTAAAATCCGATCCCTTGGCAGGCACTGGCCCCTCCGCTGCGGGTCAGTGCAGTGACAGAACCGGCTGCTGCCAGAGTCACCCTCCCCCTGTGCCCCCTGAGAGAGCAGCGATGCCCAGAGCACCCCACAGAGCAAGAGGTGACCAGATGGCAGGGCTGCAGCTCCACTCCTTCACCAGGAGGAAACTGTGTGCCAAGATCTCCCCGGCCACTGAGCCGGCTGTGACTTTTCCAGCTGGTTCTCCAGGTGCCGAGCCAAGCGGAGCACTCACACCCGGCCACCACACATGTCTGCAGTGAGGAGCCTCACACACGAGCAGGGAGGTCTGGGCAAGGGGTCACCACCACGGGACCATCAGGAAATCACTCCTGCTCGGGCTGTGACAGCTCAATGATGGGAAGTGCACGAATTCCCACTGCAAGGAGGCACTGACGTCACGCTGAGGTGGCTTTGTCAGGAGAGTATCAATGCTCATTATTCCCAAAGCTTGCACCACCCCCTCTCCCTCTTGCTTCCCCTTTGGCCAGAGTGGAAACCCTGAGAGCAGGGCTGGCTGAGGGCTCTGGCCACCAACGCTGAGCTCCCAAGCCACCCGAGAGCGGGGTCCAGGGCACTCAGAAATAACATCCACATCCCCAAACCCAGCTCTGGGTACCCCTGCACTGGGGCAAGAGGGCTCTGCCCCGCTCCCCACGTTCCTCACCCAGGGAATTGTCTGTTCCCAGCAGCCAGGGCGGCGCGTGGTGCTTCTCTCAGCACAGATACACATCTTTTGGGTTGACTTTCTCCTCCACCACCACCCCCTCAGCTCTTATCGGGGCGTTCCAGCCCCACATCAAAGTGAGCAGTGGCACAGAGCCTTTCCCAGCAGCTCTCCATCCCTGTGTCCCAGCCTGGGAGGGGACACTTGCCGTGCCCCCTGTGCCCCCCACGCTCAGCCCAGCTCCCACAGCTCGAGGTGAGCCCTGTGCTGTGGCTGGCGCAGCGCAGGAAGGGCTGGATGCCTGCCCAGAACCACACGAGCTTCCTCCGGAGCCTCTCCCCAGCCAGCTCCGAAGGAACCAGCTCCAGGCTTCCCGTGGCCTCTGCCATCGCTGGGAGCCCACACCGGGCAGCAGGATTTGAACTAAATCCCCTAAAAATAGCAGCAGCGTGGTGTGAATTCCCACATGGCACCTCTGACACCCCGATACCTCCACACCGTGAGCTGCTTCACCACCACAAAAACCTACAGACTGTGTGAGACATTAACAGACATGTCACCCCAAAAACAAATCAGAACAGGGATGAAGTGAAACTGTGACTAAGAGATACCACAGTAGCTGGAAAGCCTCAGTATTTCAAAATCTGGCTCAGAAGAGGATCTGTGGCACTGTGTCGGGGGTGACACCGTGAAATGACGGGGGGACCACCTGGGTGATGAGGAGACCACCCCACAGCATTCCCAGACCTCAGTGGCAGGGCTGGGACCACGGCACAGGGCACACGCCCTGGCACCAGCACAGCCACCCACGCCACGGGCGTTATGCATCACCTGCCACAGGTATTTGTAAGTTAAACAGCTGAACTCCCACTGCGCAGCAGGACAAGAGCTCAGGTCACAGGTGAGTTGTGCCAAGCTCAAGCACCATCGCCTTGCTGCCAAAACACACATCCTGCAGCTGAGGAACCTCCGGGTGAAGCATCTCACCAACACCCAGCCGTGAAAACGCAGAGGGTTTCACCCGCTCACACACCTCCCCACAGGCTCAGAGCACAGGGAAGGAGGAGCTGCTGTTTATGGCTGACTCACAGTATCGCTCTGGGAGAAGAACTATAGGAGCTATTGTGGGCCCTTCCCTTCCACACCCAGCCCACAACAGGCAAACAGGTTGTTCCACATCCCTCCCATTGCTACTGGCACGGCAGGAGCCAGCTGCCCCTCCAGAAGGTGAAGCAGTGGGATCCCAGCTCTCCGGGGTTTGCTTTGGACTTGTCAGAAACTAAAGATTATGGTTTTTTCCCCCCTGTCAAGCAAGATACAAGTAATTTTTAATAAAAATACCAACAATTCACTAATGAGGGAGCCAAATTACCCCAAGACAGAACATGTTGATGCTTGTGCAGGGCTGGAGCAGCCCAGCCTATCCTGCAAGGGCAGTGGCAGATGGTGGCCAGGGGACCATCATTGACCAGCTCTCCTGGTCAGGGCTCAGGCACATCCCATAAACACAGACCAGCAATAACTCTGCTCACACAGCACCTCGGTGCTGAAGATCTGATCCAGCCAGATTTAAGGCAGAACCATTTAGGTGCAGCACTTGGGGACATGTTTTAGTGGTGGCCTTGGCAGTGCTGGGTTAACATTTGGGCTTTTCCAACCAAAACGATTCTTCCGAAAACTTCCGCAACCAAGAGAATCACTTCCCTCCTATCAGTGTATCGTGATCCAGGCTCACAGACCCAGCACACGGCACAGACCACCTCCCAAGGCCTGGGGAGCAGCACTTCCAGCCCAACAGCTCCCCGGGGAGAGGCTCTGGCTCCATCAGCACCAGCGTTCCCTCGCCACAGCCGGGGAAGGTCCGTGCGTGTGCGGGGAGGGGGAAGGAGATGAGTGTGGGGAAACAATCAGCTTCTCCACGCTGACTCACCCCTTTCCTCTTCAGAAGGGTTTCACTTCTCCCAGCCCCAGAGGACTGGGCGATGTGTTGATAATACATCAGTGACTGTCAGTGTTACAACGCTCAGCGCTGCTCCAGCCCCTGCTCCAGCCCCGCCTGGCACAGCTCCAGGCATTTGCTGTTTGTTTATTGAGAGACAAGGTGAAGGGAAAAGCAAAAGCTTCCCAAGGCATCCTGACTCGACAACACAGTCCCAGTAACTGGCTCCCTCAGGCTGAGCAGTTGCCATTGACACTGTTAGCAGGCACAGATTAGAGACTGGGGTGACCTGGGACGTTCTGTGCCCCCCACAGCCCCCTGGATGGGCACCAATCCTGTATCTGTACCAAGATGTACAGACCAGCGAGTCCCTGATGCCCAACTGCTCTGGCAGCTGCTATACTGGTGGTACTGGATTAATCAGCACATGAGAACACCACCTCACATTCACCAGCCTGGCCCACACAATCCAATCCATCCTGCACACTGGCAGTCCCACAGGGAAGCAAACACCTCCAGGTCCTGGAGCTGGCCACACACCAACCCAAACCCCTCTGAAACCTGCTCAGCCCATCACTGACGGATGGCAGGAACCAGCCCATGGACACACACAGGGTCCCTCATCCCCCCAGAAGGTCGGAGCATCCCTGCAGGAGCCCATCCCAGGCACGGAGCAGGGGCACACAGCAGCTGGGCAGCCCTGGAAGGTGTCACTGTCACCACAGAAGGTGAAACCCAAACCTTACCCAGCTGCTACACCTTGGCAACTCCAGCCAGGCCACGTGGCCATCACAGATGCTCATTTACAACCCTCCACCACCACGTACCAAACACAGGGTGGTGGGAACAAGCTACTGCCTTGGCTGTCTGCTCCTCATCAGAGGGAGGAAGGCAGCGGAAAGGTGACTCAGGCAGTGGAGGAGCCCCGTCCTGAGGCAGCAGAAGGATTTGAGAGGTCTTTCTTGCCTTTCTGCACCTTTAGCAAGCCCATTACTGCAGCTTCCTTCCCTCCCCACACACCTTGGAGGCAGAGCCTTGGATTTCTGGAACAGTTTCTCAGGTCTTTTAACAGAATCACAGGTGGAAATGCAGGTCCAGAGCATCCTTTCTTCCACCAGCACTGAGCTGTCACCCCCAGTGGACACCAGGCACCACAGCCACTGCCAGCTCCAGCAGTCCCTGATCCCACACAGAGCACCACCGTGACCTTTGACACCCTCAGGATCTATATCTGCATCTCTGCTGCTGCAGGAAGCACCTACCCAAAACAACCACAAATCCAATTAACAGATTAATGTTCCCAGCGGATCTGGTGCAGCACAAAGCCTCCAAGAGCTGGGCCAGACCCCAGAGCTGCTGGAGAGGCTGAACTCTGGGATGCCCTGTCCCTGGAAGTGTTCAAGGCCAGGTTGGATGAGGCTTAGAGAAACCTTGTCTAGTGGAATGTGTCCCTGCCCACGGCAGGGGGTGGAACTGGATGAGTTTTAAGGTCCCTTCCAGCCCAAGCCATAAAGGTGCCACCAGTCCTGATTTTATTGTGCAAATGAAAAGCCCTTATTTACCAGGGGCTCATTTCAGCTCAACAATGTTTGACTAATTATTGCATGTGCTGCCCTTTCACAGCCCTGTGCCACCCAGAGCAGCTTCACTCATTCAAGGGACCTTTGGGAAATCCAGTTGCTGAGCAAAATCCACCTCCAGCCCCAAAGGTGTTTCCTGCAGGTGCTGCTCAGCCCCAGCATCCCAGTGGAAATGTCTCCAGCTCCACTCACCAGGAGAAGAAAACTCCCTTCCATGACTTTGTCATGGCCTAGTTTTCAAGAAGGTCAAAAGAAATGACAATTTGAGTTGCATCCAAGGGACCTTAGGAGCTGGAAAAGGGCCAAAGTCACCTGAGGACTTGTGCATGAGACTGGAGCTCATCAGAAGGGGCTACAAACCATTCCAGGATCCAGCCTGGAGCAAACCTCCACTGATCACACACACGTGCCCTTCACACCAGCTCTGCAGCTTCCCAAAAGCCCCCGCAGCAGCCACTGAGGATGTGTGGAACAGCCCAAGGAGCCCCTTCCCAGGGGAACTGTGGGCACGAATCTAACCCCAAATGCCAAGGACTGGGCTCCAGGGAATTGCACAGAGCAAAGTGCCTCTTCTGCTGCTCAGGGACAACTGACAGCTACACCCTGGACCTGCTCAGAGCATCACTTGAGTTACACACCCCAAACCCCAGCAGGGTTCAGACAGGTACGGCCCCACCAGACACTTGCACCCGAAAACTCAGCCCCCAGAGCCGATTACAGCTCAAGGGTGTTATTATTGCCAGTTTTTCCATTCCCACATGGGATTATCCTGTCTACACACAGTTCCTAAAATCTGATGGAGAATTTAGAAACAATGCACAGTGCTAAGCAGCCCCACGGGGAGCTGGGACCCGAGACTGGAGCAGTCTCTGGAGGGCTCTGCGTTTTCAGAGATGAACCTGCTGCGTTGCTGCAGGGTTTGACACCTCCTGTCCCAAGAAGGACATCAGAAAAGCATCCAGGTTCAGAAAAGAAAGGGTTATGGAGGGGAAAAAAAAAAATCTCAGATTTTTTTCAATGGAGGGTGGAAACGTGAGCTGTGGTCCCAATAGGATCCTGCCTGACATCGTGAAGCAGTTTTCCCTATAACTCTTGGAGGAAAATTCCCAGTCAGGGAGGGAGTTGGGGGGCACGACATTAATGGAAGCAGCAATTAAGAGCATCCCCTTTCGCTGCTCTGAAATGAGTTCCCCATCCCTGGAAGTGTCCAAGGCCAGGCTGGATGAGACTCGGAGTAACCTGGGCTAGTGGAAGGTGTCCCTGCCCATGGCAGGGGTTGGGACTGGATGATCTTTAAGGTCCCTTCCAGCCCAAACCAGTCTGTGACCCTATGAAAGAACCCAGAGCCCAGCGCTCCTTTCCGGCACTGTCGGCATTCCCAGGGAGCGATAAGGTAAAAGGTGTTCCCAGGAAGAGCCCTACCTTCGGCGAGCACAGCCCCAACCCAGAACATTTCTCAGCCCCTGTTTACACATCTGCTGGGAGAGGGTTGTGTCCCAGCTTTTATCAGCTCCACTGAGCTGCAGCCAGAAATTTTATCTCGACTTTCTCCTGCTCGGAGCAGCTGCCACAGTAAATACCAGCAGGCTCAACAGAGCACGGGGCCGAGGGGCAGCCGGAGCTGCCAGGAGCCTCCCTTGGACATGTTCACACCAAGAGGGGAAGGAGCAGTGATTTGGAAACATTTTAAACCCCAAAATACTCGAGCCACACACAAAATGCACGCCCGGAGACGGTGGGAGGGCACTAAGGACATCACAGTGGCATCCCTGGGGAGGAACCAGGGCCACCAGAAGCCACCAAACCCAGGTTTTAAGCGTGAGCAAACCCGGAGCTGCTCTGAGGGTCAGGCAGGGTGTGGGGTCCCCAAGCTCCCACCCAAACTTCCCCCTGGGGAGGACAGAGCTGGGGTGTGTGTCAGCCCAGGGCAGCCCCTCGCAGGGTCTGCTCGGCCCTCGCAGCCGCAGCGTCGCACACAAGGCTCTTTGTTTTATTTATTAAACAGAAGCAGATTGCTCCAGGCAGCTTTAATCCACGACTCGGTTTCCATAGACACTTAACTGCTTCCCCAGCACAATTGCGAGCAGCAGCGAGCTGGAGCAGCGGGGCTGGGGGGGCAGGGTCTGACACCGAGCACAGCCCAGGGGCTGCTCCCCGGGTCCTTCAGAGTCCTTTGGAGTCGTTTCAGCCCAACCTCTCTGTTAATTGACTGCCCCGGAGAGATGCTTTAATGAGCAGTTTGCCATCGCCCTGCACAGTGTGAGCCAGAGCTGAGGGAGGGACCGGGAGGAGGAGGAGGAGGAGGAGGAGGAGTTCACCTGGGACTGCACAGGCAATGAGACCAGAACCCATCGCAGCTCCATGAGAGCCTTGACAAGGCTGCAGCACCCCAGGGGGAGCTGGGAGAGTCACCTTGAACCACGAGGGGAGCTGGGAGGGTCACCTCAAACCACAGCTGCAAGGAGGGAGAACTCAGGAGCCATGTCTGAGCAATGGGGAGAGTGGGAAAGCAGCTCCCAAAGGATTGATCAGAGAAGTGAGCGTAAGAAGGGGGAAGGAGGCACCGAGCATCACACTCATGATGTCTGTACAGCTGCCAGTGATGGAGCAAACACAAGTCTGTGGTGTTGGGGCACAGGGAACCTGCAGGCAGGGCAGATCCTGGGCAGATCTGCTGCACTCAGGGCACACACCCAGCCCTGTCACACACAGCCCAAGTGCCAGGTGACCTCCACCAGATCCACCACTGCTCCAGCACAGCCACCCTGCCCCTTCCCCAGATTTCTCCCTCTCCCCACACTTTCCCTCTCCAGAGGCCCAAAATGGGCAGCACTGCTCCAGCTGCTGGGCCAAAACCTGCTGCTTCTCTCCTTTGTAGAGCAAGACAAAACCACCATGAAGCTGCTCTCCAAAAACACCATGAGCTGATGGGGTCACAAAACCCTGACACTAAGGACATCAGGTTTCTTTCCCAAGCTACATGAACAGTAAATATAGAGACACTTCTACTATTCAGATCAGCTCTACACTGAGCTTGTTCTCCCCAGCAACACCAAAATCTAGTTTCATCCCTGTGCTCAGTCTGCAACTCCATTTAGCAGCAAATTGGTGACTTACCCAATTCTTTCGACCCTTGGCTTTCACTGGCCAACTCTCCCATCTTCACCAGAGCATCAAAGTACCCTTTTGCTGCGTATGTCATACCTAAAAAGCATCAAAAATGCAAGTTATAGTCTCCTTAATGGTTATTAGAACTGCTGGGGCACTGAGGAGATGCTAGACACTAAAATAGATATTACTTCAAAGGGCTTAAACGCCACAGGGAGGGACTAAACAACAAACAGAAGAAAAGTGAGCAAGGAAGGCTGGAGCAGCGAGATTATAGGGCAATTCAGGAGAGAAAAGGTACGTGCAGGACCTCGGTGGTTTTCATTCCAGTGTAACCATCAGGCTGCTAATTCTGCTCTGAGAAATCACTGCGGAATAATTGAATATCACAGACTTTCATTATAGTTCAGCCTTGTTTGTTGACATTCCAGCTACACACTTGACTTTAATCAGATAAGCAGGGGGTTTCCTCTAATCACAGAACATGTTGTACAGCCCCAGCTCAGCACCTTCCAACGCTGGGCTGCAGCCTCTGCCTGGCTCCAGGTTTGGGCCCTTCCTTCAGCTGCTCCCCCAGCTCAGGGATCAAGGAAAGGATGACCCAAGACAAGTTAAAATTACAGGAAGATCTTTGGCTTCAAAGCGCTTTCACAGTAGGGATGTGGGAAAAATACAAACCCAGTGACCAGGCTGGTTTTCCCCAAATGCCAGGGTTAGTGTGTGTGTGGCTTCAGCTGGGATAGAACAGCTCGGGATAAACGGATCCACCTCCCAGGTAATTAAAAGCTGAGTTATCAGGACAACATTTCAGAGGAATAAATAAAAACACAGCCCCTACCTCTCCTCCCTTCCCTGCTGCCAGGAGGGAATCAGCAGGGAAAAGCACCCCCAAATTGTGAACCCCTGCCCGGTTAGCATCCCTAGGAATAGCTGGGAAATGCTGCTGCTCATAAGGGTGCTGTATCCCACCCCTGGGGGTCAGAGTCCACAGCCCCTGTGCAGTGGACCGGGATGGACGGGCTCTTCCCACGTCATGGCTGGTTGATCCATTAAAACCCAGTTAAAACCAGTGCTGAGCACTGGAGTAGGGGCAGTGCTGGTACCTGAGAACAGGGGGAAGGCTGCATCTTAAAGGATCCCCATGGAAATACCCAGGAGCCTCATCTGACTTGCAGGAAAGAAAATGTGCTCCGGGCAGGAAGCAGGGGCAGGGATCCTTCCCGAAGGTGGGATCGCAAACACCGGCGCTTAAGAACATGAGATGCCCAAGCATTTTCTCCCCCACTGGCTGGAGATGATGACAGCCTCTTCCCTCACAGGCATTTTCACCGGGATATTAGAAAAATAAAATCCAGGAGACACGTGTGGCTCTGAAGGGAGCAGAGCCCTCCCTGGAAAAACACAGCTCTGGGTTGAGAAAAGCCTTAAACCTCCTTAAAACCCAGCTGAGGAGGGCCCAGGCAGTGCACAAAGCCAGTTTGAGTCCACACCCTCCATTTTGGGGTTTAATCAATTCATAGCTTCCTTTTGATCATTTAAATCTACGCCTCCCTAATGGCTCCCAATAGGATCCTGCATTCCCAATCAAGAGCTGCCATCAATACTTTTAGGCTTTTTCCTTCTCTTTATTCTTCTGGGCAATTTAAACATTTCAGTAACACCTCTTTAAGCAGAACTTAAAATCTTAATTCTCAGTATTTTAAACATTCAAAGATGAACTGTTTGGAGATGTGTTTGTTATCCTGCTGCCTCCCAACGTTTCATCCCTTGAATCCTTCCCACATCCACGGCCCCTTGCACATCCCAGCGACATAAGCTTTGCATCAAGGTCCAAGAACCATCCTCCCAGTTCCCCCATCATGGGAACAAAGAGCTTCTCGAGCTGGTTTTCCAGCTTTCCCCCCTCCTGAGGCTGGGCTGCCCAGCCAGACCCTCTCCAGCCTGGCAGCCCCCAGCATTCCAGCAATATCCACACCAGCAGTGCAGGGTCACTTACTTGCTAAGGCTTTTTCATAGGTCTTCCCCATAGAAATGAAATTCCTGAGGCTGGGATTGAACTGCTCCATGATCGTCTAAAGGGAAAAGAACATCACTGGGATTAGCAGGGATGACTGGAGCTGGACAGAACAGCTCCATGCTCAACTCAATGCTGATAAACACAAAAAGAGAGAGAAAAAAAGTCCTTCCCCCTCCCTGGAAGACGTTCCAGGATCTTCCCCTTCATCTCACAGCTTGAGGAAGACCAAGCTGGGTTTGAAGACCACAAGGAACAATAAGAAGGTGGCTCTGCAGTGCCCCAGCACAAGACACCTTGTTCAGGTGCATCACTGTGAGAGGTAAGCGAATGCCCCAACCAGAAAATTATCAGATAAGGCAAAAATGACCATAGTAATGACTGTTAAGTGGCTGTTTGAGGCAGCAGTGACCCTCACACCAACCACAGAGGTGACCCAAGCTCTGGGAGATGATGGCAGGTGATGTCCCACTCCCAGGATGGCCCCAGGGAGCAGCAGCAGCTCTGTCCATCCAGGACAAGCAGGAAGGGCTGAAGAACAGCATTCCAAACATCCACCCAGGAATGAAGCAGACTGAAGTCACCAGCATCCCCCTGAGCCGTGCCAGCCTCGGCCCAAGGCACGTGCCAGGAATTACACCCGGGTCTCAGAGCACTCGGTGTCACTACAGGCAGGTGACACCTGCCCGTAAGGGCCTGATTTTGGGTGGGGGTGAACACCAGCAGCACTGTCTGAGCTTTTCCTCCCTCGCTCCAAGGGCCTTATTTAAGATGGGGGAAGGAATAATCGGATCAGGGAGAAGAAGGGCTCTTTGTGCACTTGGCACCGGAGCCTCAGGGCCGCTCACCCCGGCACCGACGGCATCGCCAAACCCGATCCCAGCCCAGCCCTGGCAGAGGCACAGCCTCCGTTCTGGATCCAGCCTGGCTGCAGCCCCAGAGCCAGCCCCCATCCCCTGCCCCACCTCGGGGACACCCTCCTGCCAAGGGTGCCACCAGAACACAGAGTTCAATGCCCAAACATCCCCCAGCAGGGATCCACGGGCATCCCCCGGGAGGAGGGGGCTCTGCACCCCCAGCACGCTGCTGGCAGCGTCCCCACCCCGGGAAGGGGAGGGAAGACGACAGGCAGACACTTACAGCAAATAAGCTGATTAAGCATCTGTCACCTCATCCGAGGCTGGCCAACACTATAAAGCTCATTTTCTGCCTGAGGCATTTTTATCCCCAGTTCCTGCTGCCCGGCCCTCGCCGTCTGACAGTTTAATTTTCTCCCGCGGGCACGTGTGCGGGGCTCGGCCGGTGCCTCCTCGGCTCAAAAACAACCATTTTGGGGCTTCGACGGGCAGGAGCCTCTGTGGGGCACCAGCTCGGAGGGAATACCGGTGCTGGTATGCCAGGGCAAATCCAGTCAATCCTCCCAGGAGCAGCAGTGGGAGCAGAAGGGGAGGATGCCCCCAAAGCCTCCCCCCACCCCCGCAGCTCCCGGTCCATCCCCCAGCACCATCCACAACCTGCCAAGCACCGGCGATGATTGCAGGAGGCTAACGAGGCGCTGCCCTGCTAATTAAGGCTGCCGATGACCCGGGTCCCCTGGAAACTGTTTTGGGGCAGCACAGAGCAGTCTGGTGAGCGTGCTCAGCTTGAAGGGAGAAAATTAACCTGTAGCAACAAGCCACAGAACGAGGTGTACTCCGAGGTGTAGGAGACAATTGCATGCCAGTTAATTAACACTGACGAGGATTGCTCCATCCTGCCCATGTCGCCTTTAGCTTTGGTCAAAAATCTACTTTTGTTACCCCACAAAGCGGTTGGAGGTGTGGGATCACTGCTCAGGGACAATTCCCCCCTTCCCACGGCAGGGGTGGGGACACAGACACATCCTCACCTCCGGCAGAGGCACAGCTACAGCCTCAACCACACTCAGCTCAGCCTGAGCACTCTGAGACTGAATAATATTTAAGCAGCAGAAACCCTGGCAGAATTTCTGTGGGGAGGCGATTTTTCGGCAGTTTGCAGGTTCGGCGGAGTGTTTGTGTACGGGTATGTACACAGGGATATGTAAATAATGTGATTTTCTCAGCAGTGCTGTGTAAACACGTTGTCCTGAGCATGAAACTGAGGGAATAAATGATGGAACGGGATCCACAGACAAAGCAAAATTCAGCACATCTTCCCTAAAACCAGAGGGAATCAAGGCACAACCCAGTCCTGGCACTGCTCCCCACTGACCCATAACAGCCATTTTAAACCTATAAATAAAGAGATAAAAGCCCCCCAAAAGGTCTGAGAACCAGCTAAAGCGGGGGGAGGTGACTCTGCTGGCCAAATACAATCCACCAACCCTCAGGAGGAAGTTTGCTGAAAGTGAATGTTTTTAAAACATTGTCTCGAGCCTCCAACAAAAACAGCCCGGCAGGATGAGGGCGGTGAAAAGGGCTCCTCACTCCAGAGATAAAAATAGCCTTTTCCAAGCCTTCCTCTCACTCCCAGGGTGGGAAGGGAAGGTGACTCCGGAGCCAACACACCTTTGCACCCCCCTCTAGGTGACAGGCTGAGATCTGCCAAGGTGAAATAGTGGAAAATAAACAGATTTATGGCATGGAATGACTCAACAGCATCACTCCCTGCACGGTGATGTGCTGGAGCTGCTCCCGTGACACCAGGGGTGCATCCCCCCACCCCTGTGGGGACAAGTGACAGGGCTGTCCCCCCACAGGAGAGGTGGGTCCAGGTTTGCAGGACACCACAGCAAAGCCAATATTCAGCAGCAGTGTGGTAATGAAAGCAAATCTCACTCTCCCCCAGATTTTGCCCCCTCAGCAGCACCCACAAGTTGTTTGTCTTCCACGGGCTGCCTGGGCAGAGTTCAGAAAAACACAGACACAAAACCTGGCAGCCAAGGGTTGAAAGGGCTTTGCTTTGTTCCACTGCGCTGAATTCCCTGGGTAATACCACTCAGCTCTCCGGGATTGGCACAGCTTTATTCAGCTGCCAAAAATGAAACTAATGCAAAGCACAAGGTCTCCAGGACACGACCCTGCTCAGTTCAGGGGGGGAAGAGGCAACAGAAAACAAGGTCCCCACTCTCCCCTCTGAGCACCCTCCCCACTGCAGCCAGGATGCCCCAATCCTGTAAGGGTCAGCCCATCAGGAAAAGTTGAGAATCATGGAACAGAATAAAGTATCCTGAGTTGGAAGGAACCCACGAGAATCAAAGTCCAGCTCCTAAATCCTAAGTTTAAGTCCTCTCCAAGCTGGAAATGGAGCCAGCTCAGGTTTCTCCTGCGCAGGAAAGTCCTGCACAATACCTGAACAACTTTTAATAAAATTTAAGGTTACACAGCTCTCCCAGGTCCATCCCTGCAGCCTCTCAGGCAGCTCCTAAAACCAAACAGAGAGAGAAATGAAAAGCAGGGGCTGCTTGGCTTGGCCAGGGCAGGAGGTGGTCAGTGGCCACGGTCTGTGGGCACCCAGGTCAGCAGCCCTGGCCAGGGCAGGACCAGCTGACTGTGCCAGCAGTGCCCACCCTGCCCCGAGTACAGCACTGCCACTAGAGCCAGACCTCACATCCCGGCCCCCCTCCACACTGCAAAGGGCTGAACAACCGGGATCAGGGCGAGGAGGCTCCTGGGTTCGATGAAGGGACGAGCATCCCCACGTGTGCCATGTCCTGGGCTCCGCTCCCAGCCACCCTCCACAGGGCATGTCCCAACACCTCAGTGACCACAACGGACGGACTTTGAGCTAAAACCACCTTCTCTGGTTTCCTAATGCCATTTTTGAGGCCCCTATGCAGCAGTAGGGTGCAATGTTTTGAACACATCCCTGGAAGTGCTCAAAAGATGTGGATGTAGCACATGGGGACACGGGTTAGTGGTGGCCTTGGCAGTGCTGGAGGAATGGTTGGACCTGATGGTCTCAGAGGGACTTTCCAACCTTTTTAATGATTTTATGGCTCCTGTCAAGGCTGACACTGCACAGGGGCCTGGGCTCAGCCTGGGACCCAGGACTTTCCCGGGTGATTCATGGTGACAGCAGGTCATTGGGTGACAGCAGGTCATTGGGTGACCATGACGAGCAGGTTGGAGGGGCAGTACAGTGGGACTCCACTACACCACAGTCACACTGCAGAAGCAACTCAGCTCTAAGGAACTTTTGCCTCTAAATGGGTCAGCCCTGCTCCAGGAACACCATCATTTCAGTATCAATATTTAATGACCAGCAAAGCCCAGCGCTGCCTCCTCCATCACAGCTTGTCCTGCCTGGTGCCATCAGGAGCAGCCCCAGGGATTTTAGGAGCCAAGTTTCTGTCAAGAAGGAGCCCAGGTAGACAGGGAAAATCAGGGAAAAACCCCAGTGTTCCTCATCTAAAGGCATTTAGTTTCTCTTAGCTGTCGTGTCAGAGGATGAGGGGACCCAAGTTCCAGGGCAAGAGCTCTGAATGTCTCTGTAATCAGGGTCTGGGCTTGAAGGGAACTGGGATGGGGATCTGCACAGTACTCAGAGCACCTTGTCAGTGCTCACCAGTGGTCACCCCTGCAAGGCAGAGCCATCCACAAGCCCTTGGGGTTGGGATCTCTGCTGCAGAGCCAGGAGGGTCCCACAGCCCCAGCACTGAGGGGCTCAACTCGGCCAAAGGCTCCAGCAGGAGCTGCTCAGTGCAGGAGCTGCTTGCCCTGTGCTCTGCCCTGCCCTGCAACACGAGCAGCACCAGTGAAACCTTAGCCACGAGCAGACTCTGCACAACAAAGCACTGAAGGCAAAGCCAGGGGCTGCCTCCATCCCAGGGAGCAGCATCCATCTCCTGCGGGATCTGCAGGCAGCATGGGAAGAGGTCTGGGGTACCTCCAGCAAGGCAGGAGCTACCTGCTTTATAACACCTTGTAATCCTCGAGCTTCACAGTGTGGAGGTGTCCCACGTCAGCAGAGGTCAGGAATGCTCTCCCAGTCCGCAGGCAGAGGGGATGGAGCAGCATTCCCACCTCAAGAGCCACTTGGCAGCGCCGGAGCCGAGCCCAGTGCGGACCCTCACTCCAAACAGACCCAGCTGCAGAGCCAAGGCCCCTGTGAAGGTGTAACTCTGGCAAAAAGGTGTTGCCCTGTAAAAACACCACAGCCCCGGGCCCTGCTCACCACAGAGTGAGAGCCCAGCCCTCACCTGCCACCCTCCAGCTACTGCTGGGGAAGGAATTTCCCAGTGCTTGACCCGCTCCCTGCGGCACCAGCACATGGCACCCACTGCCCATGGGGTGCTCCCATCCCTCGGAGCGGTGACACCGACCATGGGATGCACCAGGCAGCTCAGAGCCCCGAGGTCCAGCCAACAGATTTCCCACAACTGGGGTGCAGGAAGCCCCAAGGCAGGGAGCAGACAGCAGGGAGCACAGGGCACGGAATTCAGGGTAGCACGGGCTGGCTCCTTCCTCCTCTGCCACACCACATCATCCCTCCGCTGCCAAACACACCAAACCACCCACAATTTCCCTCCTGAATCACTTGAGGAAGAATCGCTCTCGTCCCTCTGGGCCTGGAGATAAGGAGGCAGAGGCTGTGATACCACAGTAATATCAATTACAGCTGATGGGGAGCAACAGACCATCAGGGATTCTGTCCATGTCCGTGCCAGACAATTCGGCTTCGACTTTGGGGTGTTGTTAAGCAAACACCTCTTCAAACACAGAGCTACTCGTACACCATTGCAGAACGATCTTCCACACGCAAAAATGGCTTTAAAATGAAATGGAGGTTGGGCTGTAAACGGCAGTAATCTCATCTGGCAGGAGGAGACAGATCTGTCTTTGGGGGGAAGGAAGAATTGCCAGTCCCTGCTTTCTGCAAACGGACAATCTGGAGCAAGGGACGAGGGGGGAATGGAGAGCAGGGATGGGGAGCTGCCCTTCACCACCACCCAACGCTGCACCCCCAGCCCTGGGGCTCACAGCAGAGCCCAGCCCGGCAGCTGTGCCGCTACGCCGGGGTCCTGGGAGTGAATCAGCGCCAGGGAAGGTGGGATTACGTTGGCGGAAGGTGCCAGCAGCCTCCGTCTCCCTCTGTAATTACTCCCCGTGTGTAGGCAGCTGCCTGTAGTGGCAGCATCGGCTCGGGGGCGGCTGACAGCTCCTCCACCATCTCATTAGCACAGTCACTCCGAGGGTGAGAGCTGGTTCTGGAGAGGGATGACAATGGGCTTCCCGAGCAGAATACCTCGGGAAAGCCTGCGCGGGAGAGGGTGCCTGGCATGGGGAGCGTGGCAGGGAGCTGCCTGCTCCTGGCTCCTGCTCCAGACCTCGTGGGGAACACACTCAACCCCTGGTCCTGCTGCCGCCAAAACCCCGGCAAGACGGCGGCTACGGATGGAGGCCCCCCCAGACCCGGGTTTGGGGGCATCACCCCCCTTCTCAGGGTCCTCTCCGCCTGCCCACTGTGGTGTTCAGGCTCCTGCACAGGCCAGGAAAGCACAGGGCAAAAAAACCACTGGGCTAATGGGGATGTGAAGCACCAGGGCTGGTTTTGGACTCGAAGACTCCAAAGGTTGAGGAGATACAGAGAGACCCCACAGTCCCTGAGCCACCAGCCCTCATGCTGGGCTCTGGGGTGGCCAAAGTCCTCCATGAAACAGGAAGACAACAGGTTCCTGCATGCACCACATGCCACACATCTCCAGAGGCCAAGAAAAGCATTGTTGGCTTCGGAGGTGACTCCTTGTTCACTGCAGGGAACACAAACGGTGTCAGGACCACCCTCCTACACCTCCCAGCGCTGAGACACTGATTTTGGGTAAAAGCATGAGATCTCCACCAGCTCCATGTTCTCATGCCCTACACCTGGCTGCTCCCACTGAAACCCTGAGAAACTGAGGTGTTCGTGAACTGATGGAGATCTTCAGCCTCCTCCTGAGTGCACCTCTGGCCCTCAGAGCCAAGGCCCCCTGTGCACCCTCTGCCCTCGGCTCAGCCGGGTGTCGCTCGCTCCGGGCCCAGGGCTCTGCTCCGGCTCTGACCCACAGCTCACACAGCACAGGAGAGATGAGGCAAGAGAAGAGCCTTGGCAGCACTTGCCCTTCACCCCTCACAGGAGCACAAGCTTCTCTCAAGCACAGTTGTTGGGATGGCACAAACCGCGCCATGCGCCCCTGACAGGGCTGTGCCCGGGGAGATGGTGACCTGCTCCCCAAGCCTGTCATTAGCCCCGTTCTTCGAGGACAACACAGCTCCAACAACAACTGAGTCACGCGCTGAAGCTGCTCCCAGCCGCCGTCCCCAGCCTGAGCCCCGGCAGCTCTGGCCCTGTTTGCCCAGGCGGCCCCGGGGCCGAGCACAAACACCCGGGAGGGGACGGATCGTGCAGGGGCCTGACCTGGGAACACCCCGCAGTGCCAGCTCTGCCCAAACCAAGGGCAGCCTGCACGGGGCCAAGCTGGGGTACATCAACTGCACACAGAGGGTGGGAGGGAGCCCCAGAGACCTCAGACAACAGTCACCAAGACTCAGTGTGGCCAAGATTTTGGGTGCCACAGCCCTGTCTGAACAGCTGTTACACACCAGGATCTCCAAAACCAAGACTTCAGAACTTCATCCCCTCGGTGTTTTTTGTACTACATTCTTCTATCTCTTTTCTTTTTTTCCTGCTTTGGGCTCCCAGGTAACTCAATCCAACCCCTTAAATCGCAGGAAATCGTGCAAGCTTCCCAGTTTAACAAACGACATCCTGCGTTACACGTTAGGCTACAGCAGTTTTATTAGTCTCGGTCTCAAGACCCAGCGGAGCAGAAACTGCTTCCTTCGGGGGGAAATTAAGCCACATAAATTATTGGATTTTTCTCAGAACACGGGGAGCAAAGCAGAAGGGGAAAACAGAGATATTACCGAACTCGGAGAGACGGGGAAAGCTCTTGCGGCTCATGGTTGTGGCAAAGCAGCGGGCGACGGGGACGCGGGGCTGTCCCCGCACGGGGTGATGCGGGGACAGCGCTGCCCACCGTGGGATCGGACATTCCCGGTCCCCGCGGATCCTCCCGGGGGGTGCCCGGGGAAGGGTCGGGGGTAACCGGGTGGGATTCCGGGAGTGCCCCTCGCCCCCTGTCCCGGCCCAGCCCCGGCACCCGCTGCCGCCCCGCCGGCTCCGGGCACATCCCGGGGGCGGCCCCGCCCGCGCCCCGCGCCCGGGGAGGGAGCGATGGAGGGGGAGATTAAACAACTGAAATAACTCCGACTGCAGCAGAACCCCGAGACGCGGCGCCGGGCACCTGTTGCGGACTCACCTTGTAGACATTCTCGGTGAGGCGATGCACCTCCTCGGAGCGGGCCATGCCGGGCGGGCCGGGCAGCACCATGGGCGGCGGGCGGGGTGCGGGGCGCTGCGGGACGGGCGGCGCTCGGGGCCGGGCGCGGGCGAGGGGAAAGCGCCGAGCGGCGGCCGCGGCGCTTTTTATGAGCTGCCGGCGGCCGCGCCCTCCCCAGCCCGCCCCGCACCGCCCCGCACCGCCCCGCACCGCCCCGCACCGCCCCGCGGGGAGGAGCCGCACCGGGCCGGGCCGGCCCCCGCTCCGCGTCCCAGCGGTGCGGGGCTGGGGGACAGGAGGGTTGCACCACGCTGTGCCCTCAACCCCTGTGTCCCCCAGGCCCCATCCCATACTCCATTCTCCATCCCGTTCCCCGTCCCGTATCCCATCCCATGCTCCATTCCCCATGCCCTAACCCATTCCCCAGCCCACATGCCCTGCTACACCCCACAACCCACCCTATACCTCAGCCACACCCCACCCCATAGCCCACGATACCCCACACTATCCCCCTAATTTACCCTATCCCATAGCTCTTGCTGCACCCCACATCCCTAAGTTGTCCCACACTCCAGCCCCAGCTGCGATCCCCCCTCGCTGTACCCCACGTGCCTGGGGTCGTGCTCCATCCTGAACTGCTCAGTGGGGTGTGGATGGGTGAGGAGCAACTGGAAAGGGAAGAGGAGCTGGTGGTTTGTGGGGTGTTTGGAACAGGGTCCAGTTGGGCCAGGAGAGCAGAGATGGGATGTGCAATCACCATGGTGTGGTTTGGGACACCCAAGGCTGACCACCCCAGGCAGGAGAAGAGGCAGCCCCTGCCTGTCACTTTGCTGTCCCCAGGCTGTCCCACCACCCAGCCAGCCAGGAGAACTGGGATTCCCTTGGGAGGCTCCTGCCAGCACTCCGGGCTGTTAAGTCCCTGTGGGACAGTGAAGCCATGGCTCATTGTCTTTCTCATCCCTCAGACCAGCAGCAGTGACTTTTGCCCAGATCCCGAGGGACATGAGGAGTTGGACCATGGCCTGGAGCCAGCGTCCCAATCCCTGTTCCCCTGCCTGAGAGCCCTTCCCGCCGGGACTGCTGCTGTCCGCAGGGTGATCCATGGGGAAACGGAGCCTCATGGCCGGGCTGTCCCCCACGGGCCTGTGGCTGTTCAGAGGGGGCACATCTGGGGGCACTGGGCACAAACCACCCCCGGCTGCCTTGCCCTGGCCCTTGGGCCAAGCCTTCTTCTCCCTCCTCCCCCTCCTGTCTGCTGTGAAAAGTGGTGAAACAGTTAAGCAGCTGAGCATGTTATTTTCCATTGTCTCCATCAATTCCGAGAACAAGGAGCCCAGGTCGATACCTTGGCCCCAAACCTCCCACTGCAATTCCCCTTCCCGCTCCCCCTCCCAGCCCTGCTGAGGAGCAGGGGAGGCACCGACAGCAGCTGCTCACTCTGGTCACATTTGGGTCCCATTTTGGCTTCTTCCCTCTCAGAGGTTCCACACTCCAAAGCACAGGAAGGAATTTACAATCCCTGAGAAGGGTTTTTCTCATGTTTCTGGAGCGCCTGGTTAACCCTTTCCCCCTGGGGCTGAGGAGTGGGAGCAGCCATGGGACTGGGGGGACTGAGAACAAGGCTGCCCAGGGACACATTCCCAGGGGGATGCCTGGCTACCTGCATCGCTGCCAGGACCTCGTGGTGCCCCTGTCCCTTCCACCTGCCCCACCCCGAGCAGCTGGACTGCGGTTGGCTCTGTTGGGATGCCACTGCCTCAGCCACCAGCACCCCGCTGAATTCCCAGTGTTGGCCAAGGATTCTGGATCAAGAGTCCAGGAGGAGAGAGCCTCTCCCTGCTTCTCCATCACCTTATTTTTAGTTATGTTATGTAAGTCCTTCGCTACGTCATGGATGTGGGGGGTTCTTGCATCTAATTCCAATGTGACAGCCCAGCAATTCAAACAAGCTGTTCCTCTGGTGAGGAAGATAAAAGGATTTGTAATTTCTGATAATAAAAGAGGCCTTTTGGGACGACCCTCAGAGAGTCTCTCGCATCTAGGCCTGCTCACAGACAGCCGCTCCACTTTCTTCCCATCCTCTGCTTCTCCTTATCCCCAGGAGATTTGAGGGCTGAAAACCTTTCTCCCTCATACCCCACTGCTTCCAGAGTGGCTCCGCAGCTGGAAGCAGCCAGGGAGTTTGTATCCCCACACTCAGAGCCACACTGAGCAAATTATCCTTGCCACCTTGCCACCTTGCCACCTTACCACCTTGCCACCTCTTGACTGGCACTGGCCCCCCGGGGCTGCCCGTGTGCCATGACCCAGGAGCTGTGCCCGGCCCCAAGGCAGCGCTGCCGCCCCGCAGCTGCCCAGAGCACCCTGGGAATTCTCAGCAGGAAAAACCTGCCGTTGCCTCGTGCCGTAACATTTGCTTTGATTGCCTTTTATTTTTTTTTCCTGGTTGTTGCTCGCTGCCTCTTTGTCAGGGTGATTCACTCCCCGGGGCTCGGCGGCAGCTGGAGCGTGCCCAGGGTAACCATGGTGCCAGAGTCCCTCGCGGGTTACCCAAATCCCTGCGGCTCCTCCCGGCCTTCTCCACGTGCCCTTTGGGAAGGTGGGACCGTCCGCCGCGGGGGCAAAACCCCGTGGGTGCAACGTGGGAAACCACCACGCCAGACTGCGAACAGCAGTGGGACGAACTGGCGGCAGCCCCGGGGCTGGCACCGTCCCCATCCCGGGAGCGATCCCTCCCCTCCCCGGGAGCGATCCCTCCCCATCCCGGGGGCGATCCCTCCCCATCCCGGGAGCGATCCCTCCCCATCCCGGGAGCGATCCCTCCCCATCCCGGGAGCAATCCCTCCCCGGGGTGACGATGCATCGGCACACGCGGCACCGGCCACCTCCAGCCCCGGGTGGAGTGAAGTTGCTGTGGCAACAATAACTTATGTAATCCACCCCGCTCGGCTGCAGGTGTGGGGAGGAAATTGTGCTATTTTCGAAGTTTCATTAGGTTCCTTCTTAATTACCAGCGTGGCATCACGCCAGTGCTCCCGGCCGGGCTGGGACAGGGAGAGAGTGTGGGGATGGGGCAGCGACGGCCGGGCCAGGGAGGGCTTGGGGCAGCGATGGCTGGGGCAGCGATGGCTGGGGCAGCGATGGCTGGGGCAGTGGTGGCTGGGGCAGCGATGGCTGGGGCAGCGATGGCTGGGGCAGTGGTGGCCAAGGGCAGTGGTGGCCAAGGGCAGCGATGGCTGGGGCAGTGGTGGCCAAGGGCAGTGGTGGCCAAGGGCAGTGGTGGCCAAGGGCAGTGATGGGCAAGGGCAGCAGCTGCACCAAGGAACAGTTTCAGCCCCAGCCCCTCTGTGTCCCCAGCGCAGGGGACACACTCCCTGCTCCCCAAAATACCCACGGTGGGTGTGGTGGCTGCGGGAAAGGACCAGGAGGGAGGAGCTGCAGGGCAGCATAGCTGCCCAGGGAGGGGAACACGGCACTGCACGGGGTCACTGGGAGCTGCCACATCCTCAGTGCCTCGGGAAGCCTTTGGTGACATGGAGAGAGGAAAAATAAATGTGGGTTATAATCCCTTGTGCGTTTGAGTGTGATGTGTCACCGACCAGCTCAGAGAGGTACCAGAGTTGGTTTTTGCCACAGTCCCTGAGGACATGCTCAGAGTTTCCTAAGAAAGGTCCAACACCAGCTGCTCAGGGGGGTTGCTGTGTGCTCCTGGTGCTGCCAAAGAAGATGGACTCTGTCCGAGCAGGAGGGACCGGGCAGGGAACCGGAACAGACTGAAGAAGCCGCCTCCATCTTCATTTCACCTGTTTGTCCACATGGCCCCACAGGGAGGGACAGGGGCTCCCTTGCACCCCCCCAGTGACCTTCTCTCTCTTTTCCTCCTTTTTGGTCCGTGCTGAAGGGGAAGCTGAGCCCACCCACCCCTTGGTGACCGGCACAGCCTGGCATGGGGCAGGTGTGCACCTGAGTGTCACGGTGTTAATGAGATTCCCAGGAACTGTCTGCCCTGTGGGGCTGGGGCAGATGGCTTCTCCATCGGAGCCCTGACATCACTGTGAACCCTCCCTGTGCTGGGTCAGGAAGTTTTTATTTCTAAAATAATCTAAACGTGATTTTCCTGACATCTGGGGGTCACTGGGGAATCAGCCTGGTGGGTTTGAGCCAAACCATCCCATCTGGCTCAGCCTGGGGGGGCCCCTCCCTGGTTCGGGGGGGCCCCTCCTCAATGCCGGGCTGTGCCCCCACTTCTTTTTGAGCACCTCATTAAGGAGCTGGGACAGCAAACCCCACACCAGCACCCGGGTCCTGGAGCACCCACCCCAACTCAGCTCCAGTCTCCCCTTTGCAGTCGCTCACCAGGATTCCAGCAGGAGCATCTGTGGTGCCTCAAGGGTCCCCTTCAATGGCTCCAAACTGATAGTGAGTAGGTTTAGATTAAATATTAGGAAGAAATTCCTCCCTGTGAGGGTGATGGGGCCCTGGCACAGGTTGCCCAGAGAAACCATGGCTGCCCCATCCCTGGAAGTGTCCAAGGGCACGTTGGACAAGGCTTGGAGCAACCTGGTCTCTCCCTTCCAGCCCAAATCATTCCATGATTCTGTCACTGTTGGTGCTGGTGGGAGCTGGTCCCTCCATCACCATGGGCACCACATCCCTGAGTGTGACACCTGGAGTGCAGCATCGAGTGTGCTGCTCCTGTGCTGCTCGAGACACACGTGAGTTTACACCTTCATAGGGTCGGGACTTAGAAGGTGTCTCCCTGTTGGAGATGCCCCACATGTGTCAGCAGCTCTCAGTGGTTAAATCCCTCCGAGCACCACCAGCAAACTGAGCAAAGCCATTTATTGGGGATTAGCCGAGGATGAACAATTCAGGCACTTATTCTGCAGGATGGGAGCCACAGTGCTGGATCCAGGGATTCCCAGCTCCCACCTCGTGCTCTGTCACACAGGACTCAAGTGGGATGGGATGATTTCACCAAGGGGGAAACTGAGGCATGGCCGAGCTCCTGGCTCTCCATCTTCCCCAGCAGGGCTCTGAGCAAGATTCCCAGCAGGGCAAGCTGCTGTTTCCAGGT